TTTATCATAACATTTTAATAATTCCTAAACACGTTTTATATACGAGAAATTAGATATCGTTAAAGGTTTCAATCAGATGAAATGATAAGGTGGCCTGCTTGAATATCTGGGCTACCTGTTTCCTGCCATCTGGATATGTCAACAAGTTATCTGTTTTCTTGATTGTTTTATCACATCATTATGCTTATTAGTCTCATAACCTTTTTAGGTGCGTTTGTGAAAAGTTTATACTTCGCTGTACAAGTTACAAAAGAGTCCGATCAGAGACATCGTGGTTGCTGGCAGTATGCATCGAAAAGAATATACATTATTCAGATGTCTGTTCCTGAACTTTTAACTGGCGACCACTTAATACTTTTCGCAAGCATTGAACAAGAAATAAGAAACGGTAACTTGTTGAAATGCCTTTTGCTGACAATTCTATATATATTTGCTGAAAAAAGCCAAACTGATTGGACAGGTCATTAAAGCATGTTTTCATATTCTTCTGAATATTTGTTTATACATTTTTACATTCTTATTAACATGTAAATGGCCAATATTACTTAAAATACTCGCCAGTGCTAACCAGTGATGTATATACAATGTTCATATGTTTAATTTGTTTGACAGAAGAAAAAAAATAAAATTATAAACTGTGAACCAATTCATTTTGTTTCAACTTCAGTTGGTCTCATCAACTTTTTTTAATATAAACTGTGACATTACAAGTTTGATCTCTTATTTCTTCTTATTGTTGTATGAAATTGCTATACTGATTATAACTATTTATTAGGTTAAAAGTTTACTAGATTAGACTAATTTTGATATAAACATGTCACTGACTGTATAAAATAAATAGGATATCTCTAGCACGCGAATCCAGGACGCGCGTTCCATCCTATTTGAGACTCATGAGTGCTTGTTTTCCATCTGACAGATTGTAATATAGAAGAAATTTATGAATGAAGTTCCTATTGTGTAAATCAGTCAGTAGAGTGATGATTGGTCAGTGATGTGCAATAACATGGAGAACTTAAATAATGCCTACGAAAAGGAATCATTAGTGCAAGTGTCGGAAGCAATTACTTACAGATGCACTGTTAAGCTAATCCTTAGGCTGTCGAATACAGAGTCTCAGTTAGGGCAAAGTCAGAACAAGTGAGTTATTCGGTATGAAAAACTCTATCTGTTTCCAAAATGTAAATTAATACCGTTAGTACACAAATTAAAGAAATCAATACAGTCTATTAAAGAGGGGAAAAACAGAGATAAACAATATACTAAACAGTAACTAGAGGACAGGAAAAGTGATTCGTTTATAAATCAAGCCTAATAACAAGCGCCTGACTTATTTGAAATCAAAGCTAAGACCACCAGAGTAAGGTTTTTCCAATGATAATGTAACATACTTATATACTAATTATTAACACAAAAACAAATACGATAAAATTTCATGGTTGATTTAAGAAGTCAGTTTTATAGATAAGTCCAATGAGCCTTATGGACCTAGTTCTTTTCTAGCATATAACACAGATACACTTGTCGTCAGAGAACAGAATGTTTGTTCATTCTACCACGATACTAATAATCAGTTGTTATTACCTCTCATTCATTTGTGTAACGTAATTATTAAGCAAATTATGTTACTACCTACAAGTTTTCTTCATATTCGACAGGCGGACAATTATCTACATACTTCTTACCTAGGATCTTTCCATCTTAGTATTTCTTATTAACTCTTATTCACTACACAACTTTCCATACTTAGGATTTCTAAATACTTTATCAATAGCACCATTCCATCCTGCTTTCTAACAGACTTCTTCGTATACCAGCTACAACTTAAACATATGATTTCATCGAAAGAAAAATTTTCTTTGTTGAATTGTCTAAATAATATCTACATAGAGTCTATTTCGTATGTAGAAAGTCACTAAACTTAATATAGTTGGGAAATCCAAACTTGTAAACTTGATCATGAGTTTAATAACTGAATGCGTGGAACTCTGAAAGTATGAGTGTACTGACGACCAAAGCTTAGGTCATATGCGGTGTATAATAGCCCTATTTTCATTCAGGCTTGTATATGTTTAAACCATGTAGGCCTATGATTTAATCCATTTGGTAGACAAAGTGTTATTATAGTCCATAATAATTTCCCAACATATTTTATACATATCCTTAAACTTGTGTAAATGAGTATTTTCGATTGAATGCAAGCTGAAGCCTACTCACTCACTTCTCTTGACCAGATAAATATCAATTGCCTAAAAATTTGATGAACCATTCATGTGCGCTATAGTTTAGCTTGTTGAACTACATCCACTAATCCATCTCCCTCACCATGCACTGGCTAGTCGCCTAGTTATATGTGTTTGAAAAAAAAACTGTTCAGCCTATTTCGTTTTGACTTCTGGAATTTAGAGAGTTCGGGAATTACAGTAATAACGGTTGTTTCATCAATCAATAGACAAAGTACTGGAATAATCGTAGAGATATCTGTAATAAGTATATTCATTTTTATTACCGCCCTCTTTCTAAAAATTCGAAAGGCTGTGTTGGAAGCATAAAATTCAGTTAACCTGTTTTTGCTTTGGGTATCGGTGCCCAATTAAAACACAAGAAAATCCTCCTGAAATGAGACGTAACATAAGCTAAAATCAGTTTAATTTCGTCACTGAAATAGCTATATGGTAGTGTGTGCTACTGATGTCGACGGATATAAGTAGTATGGATTATCAATCGAAAGTGAAATGTCTGGAGGCAGAAGAGTAAGAAGATCAAAGAAAAGAGAACGAGAACAGAGAATGATTGGCATGAAAACGGACGAACAATAAGGCCTGAGACGACTGACAGTCAAGTTTGAGATAATCGATTAACATTTCGCAAATGAAGGATTTACCGTATAGTTTCCAGATTTTACTAAAATATTCTGTAATTTCGTATTCAAATTCATTCGATTGTTCACACTTTTGTTCTTGTTCACTAAAATATTACTCAGTATCCTCAAAGTACGAAACTTAGAAATAATCTCAAAACGGGTTACTAAATATAGTTACAACGCATGACTGATGTATTGAGTAGCAGGTAAAATCTTCATTCAGACTTTTAAGCCTGCAAATAGTTATAAGTTGGTTAGAGAATTTAACAAAAGTTTCAGATACAGTTATGGCTTCCCAATAACTAGTTCATATTAACTCATACATACGTATATCGATTGTAACGAAATACACGGCAAATTAGTAGTACTCCTCAATCAATGTTGTTTCTAATTGGTTGGCAGGATATAAAGTGGAACTTATGCATCAAATACTATAATTTTCTTCCGTTTACCAAAGTTATAAAAATATGAAAATAAAACGAACCGAAAATTACAAAAATCACGTTGTATCCTGAATTAACTAAGTGATACAGATTTCAGAACATCAGGTGGATATATTGAAATCTATCAAGGGGATTCATCAATGGTCGAGCTCTATTATTCTCAAATTTACTGGAGTCATATCAACCAAGCTTCTAAAATTGAATTTATACATTCAAAAATAAATAGTCTTTAATGTTGCCTCACCATAGCTGATAACATTATCTTCATTTTATTAAATCATTCTTGTAATTCTTTCTGTTAATTTTGATCGGATTGTTATGATTTGTTTCAAATTCATAACTTTATATGGTTGAAATCATGAGTCAATTGAAGCTAGACTACCATCGAAAACTTGGAAGCACTGGACGGCCGTTTCATCCTATTGTGGGACTCCACAGCAGTGTGCAGCAGATGCGCACTGCTCCATAAAATCCCTTTCTCATAACTTCATTTTAAAATGACCAATCTCAACTTATGTCTAGCTACTTCAGCAAATTATCAACGAGTTTTTTCCTTTAGCCTCGTGATCTTATTACTATATTCTATATTCTATAATCTTCTCTTGTTTACTATTTTTATTTGCAATACTTTTTTAGATTGTTTCTTTTCTTTTCAATTTTATTAAATTTATTCAAATCAATCCTCTACAATGGTGATACACATTTAGAACTAACTAATTTCTCTTTTATAAGTATATTGACTTAATGATGATTTTAATACCACTATATAATAGATTGTAAGTGGCTGTAAAGGGGCTAATAGTATAAAATGAATTCATCTGGATTCTGCTCAAATTTGTCTCCATATAACTACATTACTTAACACTTCAATAACTAAAAAATTTGTGATTTTTAAAAAAAATTCAGTTTTTAATCAATTAAATATAATTTTATAGTTGAAATCATGAGTCAACTGAAGCTAGATCACCATGGAAAACCTAGAAGCACTGGACAGCCGTTTTGACCTATTGTGGGACTCCACAGCAGTGCGCATCCACGATCCCGCCTCGTGAGATTAGAACTCAGGACCTATCAGTCTCGCGCGTGAGCGCCTAACCACTAGACCACTGAGCTGTCCAGTATCCAACGGTGTTAATGTCTAACTTCTTCCAATCCACGAAATTGAATGACACATCCAACATCGTCTTTAGTGAGCTGATATCTCACAATATACCTGGGTGAACTCCACTGGTCATTGCTTCTCACTGGAACTCCAGGAAATATCTCTTGAAGTCAGTCACTAGTGAGCAAATGTTGAATAATATCAGAAGGGGTTGTTGTGGAGATTATAGTAATTTCAGTAGTTGAGATCATGAGTGAATTGAAACTAGACCACCATGGAAAACCTAGAAGGGGCTGGACAACCGTTTTGTCTTATTGTGTGACTCCTCAATAGTGTGCATCCACGATCCCGCCTCATGAGCTTTGATCAGCCTCTTATTCATTTCTTAATTTATCAGATTAAAGTTAATATAAATCCTAAATGATAATTGTGATTTGTTTATTGTTTGTAATTATTTCAATTTAGACCAATCAAATACATCCTAGAATGTTTATTTGTTTGTTTTTCTTCCAATTTTCAATAAATAAACAAGTTCTTCTTTATAAACTTTATTAAATTTTCATTTAAAATGAAGCCCACCTTAATAATCTTAATGCTATTGTATCATTTAATAAAAAAACTTTCTATCTATTCATCATTACTTAATTCTTCTTGTTCTTCAAATCCTACCGCTGTTAATCCAATTCAAAATTTTATTCTTTTAAATAAAACAAAAAGATTTTGTGAAGCAAATGAAATGTGTGCCAATCATGGGAGAAATAATAATCAAATTATAAATCTTATTGGTCAAAATTATAATTTAGCTATAGAATGTTTTAAAAATAAAACATTTTGGACTAGAATTAATCAAATGAATTATCTACAGTTAAATAATCCTAATTATACGCATTTGTGGATAGATGGTCCATCTGAACCATATTTAATTCCTAATTTAGAATCACATTTACCTTATCGTATAAAGCGTGTACATAATGATGGGTATGATGAAAAATATATTGCGTTTTATAATCATTTAGATGATATATTACAAACTACTTTGCCAAATAGAACTGATGAAATTGATGTGATTTGTGAATTAGAACAAAATATAAATAAAAGTAGAAACAATGACAAAAATCATAATCATTTTATTCAAATGAAACAATTTCATAAGTGTTCAAATGGAAGTAAAGAAGGATTATTTTCTCCAGGGAAAAGTTTTGATGGCTGTTATTCATATAATAATGAGTTAAATTTTCAATACTGTGCTTATAGGTTAGTTTTAAAAAAAAATTAAGACATATTCATTTTTCCATCACGTCTGTTGTAGAGATATCAAGTCACTGAAGACAATTGGTGAACGGTTGCTCAAACTTCGTGGATTGGTTGAAGTTAGACATTAACACCGTTGGATGCCGGACAGCTCAGTGGTCTATCGGTTAAATGCTCTGGCGCGAGACTGGTACGTCCTGGGTTCGAATCTAGCGAGGCGGGATCGTGGATGCGCACTGCTGTGGAGTCTCATAATAGGACGGAACGGCCGTCCAGTGCTTCCAGGTTTTCCATGGTGATCTAGCTTGAATTGACTCATGATTTCAACTATGAAAATATTCATTTTTATCTGTTGAATCATTTTATTCTAAACTTAATGATTATCAAACTAGAAGTTGTGTTTACTGTGAAAAATAATATTCCCTTTATACGCTGGAGAAGGTTTTGTAAACTGAATTAGCAGAAGGGTGATAGTCACAACTGTATCAAATCCTTTAATCATGAAAGTAATTATTACTATAGTAGTGTAGCTGTCTAGTGAAGGCTTAAATATAAAGACAATAATTATCTAACAGAAATATACAGCTAATTTCTTTATGCTTAGGTGGTAGTGTATACAGGGATTTATACACTAAATCCTGAGAATGGGTTTAATTGCTCAAATAAATATCACTATAAACTTGATAAAAAACAAATTATAATTCTATAATTGACTGATAACTAGGGAGTAACCAATATCATGTGTTTCAGGTCCTTTTTAGTGCGGATCAAATTCTGTCAACCAACTTTTAATGTGTTCACTATTCTAGGTGACTCAGTATCGCGTGCACTATGTTGAGATGTAAGGTTTTGGTTAAAGGTAGTCTTATAATTCCATTACTGTGACACTGCTCCAGTTATACACAGTGTCAAATGATAATGTTGCTGCTAATTCTCACTGATTCAGCTTAAAAATCTGTAATTTGTGTTTACAACTAGTCAAACTCCAAACGCTGACACATTTAACCAACCCAACATATGCTGAAGACAATAAACACATGGAAGTAAAACTGATTGATGTGATAACATCCATTATACAGTACATTAAGAACACTGAAGTCAGGAATAAAAAGCTGTAGTGGTGACAAATCTTCTGACTGAACGCTTGAATCGGTTTCCCAAGCTCTTTAAATAACCCTAGGCTAAATCTACATGACAACCTGAACACGAGAGAAAAGGTACGAAATGTGGAAAGAACGCTTTACTCCTATTTTAGTTTATCTACAGAAAATTAGGAGTGTTTATAACATTCCATATGGTCTTAGGCTTCTGAAAGGTTCTGGAACCTTGCTAAACATAATGGCAGCATGGGTAAATAAACCAATCAGAAATGTATGGCTCTTCACTTTCTAGAACTTTGTGAGAAACTTCTATTCAATTCTAATTGCATAAAATGTTAGCCATAGTTTCCAGGGTCCCTCTGGACTTTTTTTGATAAAGACTGTTGATCTCCCCAATAGGTATCTATGATAAAAGGTTTTTAGTAGTGTTTTTCAGGGAATATTTTTATTCAAGAAACAAATATTTTATACTTTGAGAAAACTTTATGAGCAGGATATTTGCTCAAAGTATTTATGAGGCTTGGAACTCAAAAATTATTGTCAACCAACACCAAGATCAGAATTTTCAATACAAATGTCAAGACAGTTTTACTGTATGGGGCGGAAACCTGGAGAACTACGAAAGCCATCATCCAGAAGTTACAGGTGTTTATTAACAGTCGTCTACGCAAAATACTTCGGATCCGCTGGCCAGACACTATCAGCATCATTCTACTGTGGGAGAGAATAAGCCAGATTCCAGAGGAGAAAGAAATCTGGAAGAAGCACTGGAATTGGATAGGACACACATTGTGGAAATCACACAACTGCGTCACAAGACAAGCGCTCACATGGAATCCTGAAGGCCGAAGGAGAAGAGGAAGACCCAAGAACACATTACGCCGAGAAATGGAGACAGACATGAGAAGAATGAACAACAGTTGGATAGAACTATAAAAGAAGGCCCAGGACAGAGTGGGTTAGAGAATGCTGGTCGGCGGCCTATGCTCCATTGGGAGTAACAGGCGTAAGTAAGTATTCATGATGCTTCGAATATTTACTAGTGACATTAAAGATTAAGTATATTATGCATATTCACTGACGATGAAGTGCTATCAATTTTCCTCTTAAGAACATACAGAAAAAACTGCTGAAACTATAGTCTTAATCCATCTTACAAATAACTGATACATTATTAGAGTGAATACTACCTAATTTGTGATAAATAATCTAGGATAGGGAATACTTCTATGAGCAAATAAACTCTTATTTCAAAAATTGCTTGCGATGAATTAAAAAAAAATCCAAAATTCCCTCAACGTTTTCATTTTCACTTTATATTAACTTTGAACATTCACATATAAGTGACCACTGTGTTTTTAAAGAAAATTGATTAACTTGTTATGGATACTATTCCTTTTGAAAGGAGAGAATGATAAGAATCCAAGAAAATTAAATTAATCATACAAAATCAAATTGATTTTGTTTTCAAATGTTTAAAATTATTTAACCTACTTACTAACAAGTAGTATTTAGATTTTTTGTAATAAATTCAGTGAACTAAGCAAATTGCTTTTTCCATTTTAGTTGTGCAAGAGATGAATATTGTCTACGTTTCTACTATAATCATTTAACAAATGGTTGTATTCTTACACAATATATCATATCTTTAATTCCATCTTATTATCCGAATAATGGAAGTGAATGGGACTGTTATTCATTGAATAATGCTAATTAATAATTGATTTGTTTATTTATTATAATTATGTAATACTTCTTGAATGTAATTGACATTTAATGAATTACACTTAGTGACAATATCTTACTATAATTTCCAATGATATTTCTAAGACATTCAAATTACTTATTAACATTCTCGAACTAATGTATATCGAAATTTTAATTCATCAATTTAAAGATGCAAATAATTAATAAAATAAATAAATATTTTTTATTGTCATAATTCATTCATTATCATCTTTATGACTTGGTGGGAAATTATAAATAAATTTAATTATTTTACCTTTAATAAAACTAAAACAGTTTCAACAATAATAGGAAGATTATAATCAGAAGGGGTTTTGTGGAGATTCAAATATTTTCATAGTTGAAATCATGAGTCAATTGAAGCTAGATCAATCGGTGAACGGTTGCTCAACTTCGTGGATTGGTTGAAGTTAGACAGTAACACCATCGGATGTCGGCTTAGTAGTCTATCGGTTAAGTGCTCTGGCGCGAGAATGGTAGGTCCTAGGTTCGAATCTCTCCAGACGGCATCGTGGATGTGCACTGTTCAGGAGTCCCACAATAGGACGAAACAGTCATCCAGTGCTTCCAGGTTTTCCATGGTGATCTAGCTTCAATTGACTCATGATTTCAACTATGAAAATTGGAAGATTGACAGGTTAATTAAGATTATTTGCAGAAATTCGAATGCTGAAAACAAATAAATCATGTAAAATAAAAACTAATTTAATCATTGAGTTCATGATTTAATTAAAGCTAGACCATCATAGAAAACGTGGAAGCACTGGATAACCGTTTTTTCCAAGTATGCGACTCTTCAGAAGTGCACATCCTCGATCCCTATCGCGAGGCCAAAGGTCCTGGGTTAGAATCCCGCGAGCGCGATTGATTCATATACTCAACTATTAAATTACTACCATTTCCACAGAAATCCCTTTCTGAAAATAAAAACTAGTTGAATATCAAGTTTTTGGAACCTTAACTTTGTAATAATCATTGATCAATCAGGTGTAGAAAAATACATCGATCACTCAGAACATGTAAATGAAACATATTTATAATGAAAGATAAATAGACACAACTATATTCTAGGTCAACATAAATTAATGATCATTATTATTCGTTGATCTATAGTATTTAAAATGACATAGCTTGAAAAAAATACAGTCCTTTCTTTCTGTTACAACGTTTAACAAATCTATTATTCATAGTAGAAAGCATGAGTCAATTGAAGCTAGACCACTATTTGACTCATGCTTTCTACTATGAAAAATACTAAATCTCCACAAAACCCCTTCTGATAATTAATAAAATCTATTATTATTATTATTATTATTATTATAATCATGATTATTAACAGGCATATTAATGATTATCATTTCAAAAAATAAGTACATGTATATTTGTAATCATACAGCTTTGAAAATGAATTCACCGACAAAAGAGAGAACTCTTCGTTAAACCAAACTTTCTTATTTTTATGTTTTAATAGGTATATTCTTTATTTTCAAATTTTAGCCAAGTGTTATAATTTGTTTTAAATGGTGAATTTAACAAAAATTACAGCACTTTTAAATTAATTCAAACGTATTTATTATTCGCTAATTTAGATTATGTTTATAGATTTGCTAAAAATATGTAGCATTCAATAAATCAATCAATCAAAACATGAACGTTGCATACCATTTGTATATTTTATCGGAACAATTAACCGATAAAAAAGTGATTTATATTCACTTCATATTGTTTGTTTGAATCTTTTCATTGATGTTTAAAACTGTAATTGATCAGTTTCTTATTGGCATATGTGCATACTGTGTGTATTGCCTCAATATAGCCTTAATTCACAAGCATTATAAACAAAGATGGATAGTGGCTGGCAATGGAATCCAGGATGTGCGTTTCGTTCTATTTGGGACTGGTCAGCTGGATGTACCTGCACCTCAGAGTTCATATTCACTCTGGGACACGAACCCAGTACTGTTCGCTTCAAACGCCATCGCGTTATCCAGCTGACCAGTCCCAAATAGGACGAAACGCGAGTCCAGGATTCCACTGCTAGCCATTATCCATCTTTGTTTATAAAGTGATTTATAGTTCGAAAAGTGTAATACTTTAAATGGTAAATGAATGATTAAAATCTAATAACCGAAAGATTTGACCGGTTCAAAAATTCATATAGTCTTAGTTTATTGAAATATGTCAACTGAAAATCATACAATTAAATATCATCCTTATTAATATTCATTTAGACATCCATTTAAAAAAAAAATAAACCAGAAATATATTTCATAAAATATATTTCCAATAAATTAATTCGGTTTAGAGTTGATTTATCTCTGATTATGGACTACTATAATTTTGTATAATTTAGGCATGTAGTCACATTCTAGACACTATTCATAATGAATTAAAACATAATTTGATTATCCAGTAAATTAATCAGTTTTATTCACTGATAAATTGTGAGGACAACCCACGGGTAAACTCGAGGAAGCTCTAAGAAGCTCAGAAAGAACCAAAGACTTTCCATCCCATCACCTTTTGGAAGAACATTCGAGAATCTCGACGTGTAGCTACCCTATTGGAAAAAGTCTAAAGACCACTGTATACAGATTAGATGACGATAATGATGATTTCGCTTTTACCAAAAACTATAAATACCTGAGAGTTTCCTACCATATTTCACACTGTTTGGAATAGCATTCCTAATCATTTGTCTTCTGTCTTCTCATTCGCGACTTTCAGGGTTCTAGAATTCGAGTGTTCAAGTTGTACGCGGTATATCAAGAATCTAAGCTCTATATATAACACAAATACTACAAGAATAACTATGTAGCTGTAAATAATTCCCCAAAATCAATAGCTCATTAAGTGTTCGACATTCGATGCTGACCATTGTTTAAGTGGACTTGTTTAACTGAAGGCTTTCGGTCATGCATCCATACCAGATCACGTTTCGACTCAGCGTGGGATACAGATCCTACGTTCACTAGCCAGCTTAGAACAAACGCTCCTCGATATATTGATAACGTATCAAATATATCTTTCCTACCTCTTCTCGTCTGACTTTTGATTTCCATTGGTCGGGGAAAGGCTTCGTATATAGAAGGTGCTACTGGTAGCAGGTTGTAAAATCAGAATACAATCATATCTTCAACTGAAATATATCTTCTTTAGTCTTTATGCTGAAATTTCCAATAAACATTAGAATTCTAATTTTAAACGTTCTTGATCAATACGTTAAAAAAGTGGTGCTGAACATTTTTTATTTCCTTTTAAAATTATATACATGTTTTACGATACTACTTCTTAATTATGGTCAAAATCTATCAGTATGGATTAGGAGAATAAAGCTATGTAGGCATAAAACTGGAAGTACATTTTAATATTCGTATATATCTCTGATTAATGTGTCGTTTAAAATTTTTAATATTTATTTAAACACATAAATATTAGTACAAAGGGGCATCAGATATATATGAGCCACACAAATCTCATTTGATTTGTGTGAGGGCTGTGATACTGATCAGGTGCCCAAACCGAAGCACGTGGTTTTCCTAGGTGGCCACACCCAGAGCCTTTGACCTAAAGGTCTAATCCACAAGGTAGTGGAGCATCGTGAGGAGATGCAAACACATGGTAACCGGTGACCAGCTATTGGTTCATACGCCATTTTTTCCCTCAGAATACTGAAGCCCGTGTGCACCATTAGTTTGGAATCAGGGTTTCCTAACTCCCCTAGGTGGACTCGCCGTGTCCACCAACCCGGTTAAAGGGCCGCACATTCGCTTCTCGTCCTCTCAATTTCGTAAACAACACCCCTGTCACGAGAAGGCAGTGATTAAGACTTCCTTGGCAGAGGCTATAAACGCGTGGCCATGTGAGAGTATTTCGAGAGGGAGAGTGGACTCTCCTCACTCTCAATCATACTAGGGTATTTGGGGGCACATAAATTTTAATGAAAATTTGATATAACTCAAAAGTATTGAACCTTATCCATATGTTGTAACTCATTGACCCATGTTTTTATTTATTTATTAATAAAACAATTACAACAATAACAATTAAAAAGTTATGATTTATTAAACAAAATAAACAACATTTGTTGATGATTCTAGTCATGTTTAGTTACACATTTTTTAAAAATGTTTATGTGGCACAGTTATGACAGTAGTTTACTGAAATAATTATGAACTGTTTGTTATTATGTACCGAATATTAACTACTCAGGTATTTATCTAAAAATGTGACATGAATTCAATTAGGATTGCATATAATAGATAGAATAGTGATAATATACATTATCTCTAGATTGAGTCATTTAATGACAATCATTAGAATACACTTAAAACTAAAAATGTGAACATTTGGCATTACATAAATCCGATATTAGTTTTGTTCCAAATTATTTGAAATGTTTTATTCAGTAAATGAGATCCAGTGTACATCTGCCTTCAAAATCCCGATTGTTCTTACTGTTTTGCAACCGATCGTCTCTTATTTCTATCTTTAATTAATCATTGCCACACCCCAATGATTTGTCAAAAGACAGGAACTATAAGATTACAAAAGTAACTTTATATCTCCATTCTACTCATAACAAATAATTTGATCTTATAAGCGCATAGACTTAAAATACTAAAAACTAACAGTTGGTACTCATTAGTACAAATATATCATCACCTAGCCAATATAATTTATATTTTTAAATTAAAACGTTTCGTAAATACTTCAATGTCTAACAACTTTATCATTCATTATTCGACATTAATTTACTACAAACTAGTATACATAAAGTAACAACACCTAAATAGAACTAATTTACTATTCATAATAATTAGAATTTTAGGACATATATTGAGGAAGTCACCCAACTGCGTCACAAGACAAGCGCTCACATGGAATCCTGAAGGTTAAACGAGAAGAGGAAGACCAAAGAACACATTACGCCGAGAAATGGAGACAGACATGAGAAGAATGAACAAAAATTGGATAGAACTAGAAAAGAAGTGGCTGGATAGAGTGGGTTAGAGAATTCTGGTCGGCGGCCTATGCTCCATTGGGAGTAACAGGCGTCAGTAAGTAATAATGAGAATTTAGCTAGATACTGTGCAACATTGTCCCATCAACAAAGATGTCCTTTCCTACCATTTTATCAATGTAGTAAAAGTTAACTGAGATGACAACTAAGCAACTTGATAATTAGATTGTTGGATAAATCATACAATTGGTAAAATCTCTTAATCTAAAGATAAGGATTAGATACTGAAGTCAGTAAAATAACTCAGTGAACATTAGAGTACTTTTATTGGTGTTTTTCTTGACCTTCAGATATTATTATCATCTTGACTACATTTTAAATATAATGCAATTTTCTTTAATTTACTTTCATTTATAAACCCGTCAGTTAATTAATACTGGATTAATGTGACCAAAAAAGCCATGAAGCTTGATATGACGTATTCATTAAGTTGTTAGTCGCAGATCTCAGTAAATACAAACAAACTGAAAGGTTTTAAGTTCAACATAATAATGTAAATGTTCAAATTGTGAGAAATAAAACAAAATATTAAAATGAGTTCAAAAAGTCAGAGAATGGAGGAAATGAAAGGTGGATCAAATGTATCCATATCACCTTGATTTATTGTAACTTTTCCTAACTCATAACACTAACCACTGATTTCAAACACTTTACATGTCAACACCAAGTAATTTAGAGTCACTATTCACCGATTCTACGAACTAGCATTATAACTTAATCATATTATGACTTCTATTTTATTTTCGACTCGAAACATATAGATATTTAACGATTCACTATACATAAAACATGTCTCACTGGCTCTAATTAATGACGATAGACAACGAAAACCTGCTTTTCCACAACTCGACATTGAATATCATAATTTACGGCTGCAAAATTCCTCTACTTACGAGAATTAGTTATCCCATCACTAGTTTAGTGAACATCGTTTACCTTAAAAGTTATTTATCCAGTTCTAAATTCGAATGCGAATCATTTTATTCCTTTAATTCATGTGGCATTCCCTCATTATTTCATTTTGAGCGAGATATCTTTGGCTATGGATCACATTCAGCTTAAAATTACTAATGTTACAGTCTGAGGGTCTGTTTAGTCATTATCCACACTTCTGAATCTGCCAACATGACTAGAAGAAAAAAAGGGAGAAACTACGTAGGGCGCTATATTTTGAAAAGCTAAATTGAACTACTAACAACTTATTTGTGACTATAGGCAACCAGTCTGAGGTTTGGTTTTGTTCGGTAGCATACCGAAAGAATTTTAACTGAATACGTTATTTTATGATACGCCTAAACAAAATAAACTGTGATTGAAATATGATTAATCAACTATATTTCAAAATTTGTCATATAAGTATACTACTATCCCAGCAAATATGTAGAATGGATTTAAGACTAAGGTAGCATAATAATAATAGCTGCTTTCTAAAAGGTATTGTGGAGCTTTAAAAAACTGGAAATATAAGGTGAAAGGTTATTACGAGTACCAGCATAATTTCACAGCACTAAAAAAATCGTATGTATTTTTCGAGCAGACTGATAACCTTGTTATCAGTTACTTTCCAAAATAAACTACACCATATTACTTAATTATTCAAATAAGTGACCTAGATAGAAAATACGTGTTTCATTATTCGTATAACTAGAATACAACGGAAAACATATACGAGTTCCTTCGAAATGGCTTAGACAGTACTTACTGAACAGATTAAATAACCAATGAAATAAAGTGTAAGTTCATAAGTGGGTAAAAACTTGAACTTGTATTTGGACTGCCAAATTCGGTGGATTAGAAACTCCCGATTCCCATGGCAGTTATTTACAAGATGGAGAGAACAGGTGTTTCCTCCTAGGTTTAGGCTATTATTATTCGTCCCTGCTGTTATAAAACACCTTCGAGTTATTAAGGTAGAGTTATATTTTATAGAAAAAATACTATCGAACACCAAGCTTCATCTCATAAATGGGATTACATTGTATTGCTTGACTAATATATTTCGTTTAGTCTTCAATAATCCAAATTCTCCCTTGAACGGCGTCGAAACAGAAAATCATACTTGGAACATTCTAAAATAAAGTATAGGAATTACGATTTTCAATAGTTTGTAACATTAGTCTCTATGGTCAACAGTCAATATTGATGAACTTTCTTCAAATATCTTCAAGCTAGGGAAAATATTTCACAGTTAATAGTCAGATTATTTGATGTAGGTACACAATTTGTTTTAATTTAGTCTCTTGGACTAGAATATACTAAAATCCGTGTTATGTTCACTACTGAAAATTTAATTGGTCATCCGTTAATTCAAGCTATAGCAGCTCACGTACAATTGGGTTTGTTCACATCTAATTTGGTTAAGCCGTTTTGTTAACATATTTAATGGATAGAGTCATTCGTACAATAACAACCTATTTATACTATTGTACCTTTATTATTGTTTCACTTGTATGAATATGTATGCTCGAGTATTGCTTACTGCTTACTCATATATTCATTCTGCTTGTCTTAATATTAGTCGCTTAATTGATTCAATTATTCATTCATTTTCATATATATATAAATCTTGTTCGCTGACTCGTTCATTGACTCGATCACTCGCTCGCTCATTCGACTGGCACGCTCACTCACTTGCTTTACGGCACTACTCTTTCATGCTTGCTTAATGTGCCTGTAATTTTGGATATTTGTGCATAGTTCAATAATAATCGCAATCAACACTTCGTATTCGCCTTCTGATTTATACACATCAAGTAACGGTTATCAGGACGAGCAATATACGAATTTTAAGGATAATATCGACCACCACAAAGCAATGAAACAAAAAAATACCAATCTTTTCTTATTTAGTGGTAAATTATTAGCAGAACACTTTATATTACCCTTAAACAACTAACCGAGCATTAATTTTATGTATTTGAATGCCTTGGTACTGCCACTTCACCACATAACACGTTTATCTCAAAAACCAAACATAAATTAAATTCTTTAATAAATTTGACGATTAGGTGAAATTAAATTATTTTTTTATTTAAATCATTAGAATACAATTTTTGTCAAAAAAAACATCACTTTAAAAGTATTACTATCAGATATTTGAGATCTTATTGCTGCTCTCATGTTTACATAGTTCATTAGAATTAACGATAGATGATAAAATAAACAAAGGAATATCAAATGTTTCGTCATTTAAAAGAACCAGATCGTATAATGAACTGAATAATTCCACTTTTTCATCATTCTGTGAATACAAATAAATAATAAATTGAATAATATAAGAATCATTTCTCATACATAGAATATATATATATATATATTTGTGACTAATATACATATTCGCCTCGTTTCGGCAAAAAAGCTTCCTACTCTTCGCCTTATGCTCTGAATACCTGAATGAATAAGCATTAGGAAACCTGTACTAATCTCTGAACTACACTGTTAAAACACAAAACAATAATCCCTCTTATGATGAAAATAAATTAAATAACGATAACCAAAGAATCGTTTGTCAAAGAGTCCTGATAATCGATAATTTATGTAATAGACAAATTAGAAGTCCTGCGTTCCCAAAATATTTATTTATAATAGGATGACCGAATTTTACAAAGTCAAAGAGAATTAAACATGACTTGAACACACTATGTTACACAAGATAAAATTCTGTCACAGGTTATGGTTATATTTACAACTTCTTAACCATTGAATACAAATTGAAAGGTCACTTGAGTAACATTAGATTAGTTAATTTTACTGAATTTAAATATATAGAGAGATTAAGTTTGAGTTAATATTCCATTTTTTATTTTCATTATTATGTGAGCGTTGAGAAAAAGCACCTCACCTGAAAGTAACAAGTCTCGATTCATGTTTCACTGAACACCAGATTGGCTGAAAACTGAAATTTGATATGTCTCGTCGATTGAACGCTATATTCGTGTCCTAAGCTATTCTGGCAACCCACAGGCTAGAACTACTAAGCGACTTGAACACCAGAGAGAAGACGCAAGTATGAGAGAAACACTTTACTCCAGGGTTCGTCTTTGTACAGAAAATCATGGGTATTTACAGATGTTAGTGTTTGTTAAATCAACATCATATTTCGGCCAATCAGTTAACGACATTTTATGCTACCGACCAATAGTAGAACGCCACGTTGGAACTCTAGAATTTTCCATTATACCCTGATTGGCTAGGGCTCTTCGGCTCCTTTTTGGGCCTCTGGAGGCTCCGTTGAAGTTCTCCGGAAGCCGACTTAACAAAATTAAGTCAAACATTTTTTGACTACTTCTCTCAAAATATAGAGACTGACAGTTTTAATATCAATAGCTGAAATCCACATTTACAAGAAATTTACAAAAGAATAAAACCCATTTGTAAAAGGATATTTTATTTAAAAAATGAGCCTAAAAAGAATACTTACTTTTTCATTTAAAAATCCTATACGAATAACTATAACTTGTTCATAAGAAAATTTTTCCATATCATCAATCATCTTTGCATCACTAGTTGAATCACCAACAAGTAGAATACAAATTCTTTTCGACAGAACGGTTTCAAAATATTCAGAATTTTGTATTACATTATACACTTTATTAAGAGAATGAATAACAGGATCTTGAAATCCAACTAAACGACCCTAAAACAATAAATTTACAGATATCTTAACACTAAAAGACGATATAATTCATAGCGACTAAAATATATATATTATCCAATAGTAAAAAAGGGCATCAAAACGACAACACTACTTTAAAACTATACTGGCAAAAAACGCCCATGTACATTATATAAAAATAAGGATTTAATCTCTAGTATAAAAAGAGGCAAATTTTGGACCAACGATGTATTAGGAATGTAAAAGTAACCATAGGAAAAATTTCTTACAATCACAACACTTACTATTGTTTTTTTACTATAACATCACTCCAGTAACATAGTCGTGTACATAAGAGTTACTGTCATGTGCAGTTTAAGCAAAAGAGTAATAAATTATCATTTTCGAAAACAATAATCATGCAAAAAAAGTCTAAAACTTGTCTGTTAACAAGGAAAGTAGTGGTTTAAAAACGTTGAGATATCCAAGACAAGAGTTTCTGCTTGCTAGTTACATTTGTTAATTAGACAACGGTACTTTATGACGAGTTCACATCTATAAACTGGATATAACTAACACAGCAAGGTATGGTAAAACTTGACTTTTTTATTGCAGTGGATCAAATGGACTGGCCCTCGAATAAATCTAACGGATTCAAAAGACCAGGTTATGAGCTCCAAATGTGGGAGCTAATGATCCTGTCCAATTTCTCAAACCGACATTGGTGTGATGGGCTTTGAACCTGAGAATTTCAGCTGTTACTGGAGTCTAATGCAGTGCTCCTTTACCTACAGATGTGGGATGTGGTTGTTATTATCGAACGAGATAAAGAAACTCTAACCAATTACAGATAATCAAGTCCAATTGTTTACAGAAGTTGGAGGCTAAGATAATTGCATTAGTACTTTATGCCACCAGAATATTTAGCATACATTAACAGAATATGAACTGTTGAGGAATAAAATAAGTGAGAAACTAGTAAGAAGTGTTTAGATTGTTTCAAGAAACATTTTATCCACTATTTAATCCTTAATTCACGTAGTCTCTCTTCTTGATAATAATCTTCCAAACAACTTATGTATTGGAGATTAATAAAACACACTGTATATCTGCAATTGTCTAAATAAGTAGGGAAGTAACTGAACCCTCATATATCTAGATAACTTCCAGTTCGTTTATCAGCCAATTATGTTGAATTATCAAGGGGTAATCCAACAATACTGAGACTCTAATTATGAAACCTGTCGAAAGAATATTTCTTACTTCAGGATTGAAGTCCATAAAATTTGAAACAACACGGACATTTTCTAAGGATACACCTGACGATGTCAGAACTGTTTCGATAACATTTCCTATGCCTCCAGAGAATATAACTAGTGGTATGCTGAGCTGAGCCAACTTATTTACAAAATCAGTTGCATTATTCCTGAAATTAGTGTATCAGTTAAAATTGGGCAAAAAAAATGAAGTTTAAGGAATAAATAAATAAACAAATTTAAGAATGATCAAATTGAAAGCTATTTGGACTTTAATATACTAGTTAACGTCTGGATGATTTAAAGCTTGAAAAACCGAACAACTAATAAATTAACTAAGAAACAAACGCGATTTTGTATATTTGATAGTGTTTATTTTGTAATATGTTTGAGAAAATAATTCCATGAACGAAAACATTATTGTTCTTGAACATACGATCGAAAGAAAATGTTCGATTAGATAATGGGATGATGTCTCAGTTGACCAAATAATATCTTTGAATATTAAGTTGTAAATATAACCAGTAGTGCAAAGTGTACACAGAGAACATCATATTTTTTAGTACAGCCTAATTAAGAACCTAGTTGAGTATGAAAATCAACTATCAGTATATTGATATAACAAATTCCAAAACTAAAATTTGTCTCAGAACTTGCTCTCAACTAACCAAGGTAGCACAAATAGAGTTACGCGATATTTGGATCCAACAGACAAACATTTTGGTCTCCAGAGTTTACTCACTTCTCACCATTGTATATCGTATTTGCAGTTGAATTTAAGTTTCAATCACTCTTGTCGATTATTCCGTTTCTATTTTTTTCTTGTAGCACATTAACCTAAACAGATAAACTGTTAAGTAATTTTTTGGACGCGAAATGGATGTGAATAGGAAAGTATGTTTTTGGAAGACTATACATATACTTCCAGTGTACTACTACTTTGGTTTTAAGGTTTTAAGAAAATTGAGGGAGCGAGCTTCTCTTTTTATTTACATGTTTAAGATATTCTCTGTTTGAAACTAAATACTGACAACTTTTAAGTCAGATGATAATTCTGTACGTTACTTCGGATCAACCAAGGTCAGCTACAGTAAAGAATACTGCAGCTAAGTGATTCATAGTACAACATTTTATTTTGTCAACCATGTAAGCGATTCCTTAATGTACATGAACCAGTTAACAGATTGCTTGTCAACATAAAAATATCGGTAGGTAGTGTTCGCTTAAATGGTTACTTTTATTTTTTTATTTGTTTTATTTGACTTCATAAATATTGGTGAAAAGAGGAACCAGATATATATGCGCCACACAAATTTCATTTGATTTGTGTGAGGGCTGTGATACTGATCAGGTGCCCAAACCGAAGCACGTGGTTTTCTTAGGTGGCCACACCCAGAGCCTTTGACCTAAAGGTCTAATCCACAAGGTAGTGGAGCATCGTGAGGAGATGCAAACACATGGTAACCGGTGACCAGCTATTGGTTCATACGCCATTTTTTCCCTCAGAATACTGAAGCCCGTGTGCACCATTAGTTTGGAATCAGGGTTTCCCAACTCCCCTAGGTGGACTCGCCGTGTCCACCAACCCGGTTAACGTGCCGGATATTCGCTTTTCGTCCTCTTAATTTCGTAAACAACACCCCTGTCACGAGAAGGCAGTGAGTAGGACTTACTTGGCAGAGGCTATATACTCGTGGCCTTGTGAGAGCATTTCGAGAGAGAGAGAAGACTCTTCCCACTCTCGGCCGTACCACGGCATTTGGGGGCAAGTCAATTTAATTAACATTTAGGTCAGTTTGTAAACTGGAAGCTTCTTATTCCATCGACAGCATCAATGGATCAACGACTTCGGTAAAACATTGAGGTTTTTTTTGAAGAATGTTTCAATCAAGAGTGACATAATAAATAAAACTCTATACGTATTTGTGCTTAAAACAGATTTATAGCTACTATATGAATGTTAAGTACTATAGCTTTTTTAATATACTACTAGTCAGAATACAGTAAGTTAAAAATGCCTGGAATGTAAAATAGTTATCTTTACTTTTTTAACAGAGAAAACTCATGAGAATTAGAACACAGTATCTGACTTTTATCTTCTAGCCAGATAGATTAGGTTAGTTCTCTTAGGATCAAGGAGAATTTCGACAGAGTAATTACGCCAACCAAGAAAAAAATAGTATTTGTGTGAATGAATAAATCTTTTTTATTGAAAGGGGAGCGCAGAAACAAGGAAAGCGTCTATGAGCGAACTATTGCAGCAAGACGCAACGAATGGAACGGGTTCTTGAAGTCACAAATTCAGCTTCTCAATCATTTAATGCTATTAAAGTCAACACTAATTTTTAAATACTTCTAGGACTAGGTTCTCTTTATTTGTACCTAAAAGTAAAATTTTTGAGTGTACATTAGCTATCCAGCTAACAAGTTAAACAGATACTTACATCTAGTAGACTACTGGGGACTCCATACATACAAACATTTCTAGCCCTTGGTATACCTTTTTCACTATTAATGTGACAATTCAGAAGACCAAGCTCATCGTGGAACTTAGTGAATACCCACTATCTTTAGGCCACTTCAGGTGGGTGACATTCCTGCAGTTCAAAGACATCTACAACTCAAAACAACTGTCAACCAACATCAAAGTCAGAATCTTCAATACGAACGCCAAGACACTTTTAGTGTACGGAGCCAAAAACTTGGAGAACTGCCATAATCAAAAAAGAACAAGTATTTATAAACAATTGTCTACACAAGATAATCAATGTCCGTTGGCTGGATACCATCAGCAACAACCTACCGTGGTGGAGAACAGATTAAATTCCAGCTGAAGAGAAAATTATGGAAAGACGCTGGAAGTGGAGAGGACATACATCGAGGAAATCATCAAACAGAATGACGAGAGCTCTTACCTTGAATCCTGAAGGGAAACGCAAAAGAGAAAGACCAAGGAACATATTGCGTCAGGAGTTGGAAGCAGACATCAAAAGAATGAATAGCAACTCGAAAGGATTGTTCATAATAGAGTTCGATGGAGAATGCTAATGGGAAGCCTATGCTCCTTCACAAGGAGTAACAGACGTAAGCGAGTAGGTAAATATCGTTGGTAAGTGTTTTAGTATTTTACACCACTTCGAACTATCCTCATAAACACAGCCACTGCATGAGAAAGTGCATAACTATATGAAGTCAACAAACAACGGGTGTAATATTACCACTACTATAGTGCTTACAGATGTGCATAGCCAGGTTCGTTCACACTATCAGTTCTCAGATGACATTGTATTAATTACCAAAACAAGTGTTGCTCGGTTAGAGGATGTACCATCCTATTGAGAATCACGAAACTCCTCTTAAAAAGCACTTGACCAAATGCAAAGTGGAAACGTTAATTATCAAATGACTGGTCTTTGCCTTGTTAACTATAATAGGTTTTCTGAATGTCTTATGTCTTCGCGTACGTAGTGTTGAAACATACTCTCACGAGTACACACTTGCGTTCCATAGCGTGAAATATTGACAAAACCATGTTTAACGTTTGGACCAACCTTAGAACTATTCCGCCTTCCAAAACACAACCCTCAATATCATTTCGAGATACATTCCCATCAACCAATGCTTTATGGGCCAATTTCCAAAATTCCATCATGAGTGACAACTTCTCGCACTCATATATGTCGCAAGACGTTTCAAGCGGCACATACAAGTTCAGGAGTTCCTTGAGCTAGCAAAATAAAAATTGAAAACCTACCTACCCGTAATCTAGATATCTCAGGAATCCTGGGATTTTTCATGAACAATTCTTTCGTGTTTACTGTATTATCTCGAACAAATAAGAATTACCATGACAAACAGGAACCTTCTCAGAATTGTGAATGTATTTGGACAATGTGTGATCAAAATCACAAACAACCTCACACTAGTCTTTACAGATATTTCTTACTTGCATATACTCTGGTCCATAACGTATGAAATCTACTAGTTTATTCACTATTCTGTGACCAACATGGATCAGACGATGATTTTCAAACTATACGCAGAATATGAGACTATAAGATTACCATGGATCCTAACGTATTGCAAATATGACTCGCAAAGAAATTGCATTTATCCTCCAAGGTCATGAGTTTGGAAGACTGCGAAGGCCACACCTGATCGAGTGAACTTTCAAAAAAAACAGTGGAGACAAAGTGGTACATGACACCCATCAATCACACGTTGTTATTCTTCACATTCTCAGATTATCTGGAATTTTGTTAATTTTTATGGTTGTGATCAATTTATCGTGATTCTTCATGGGTTGATTCCGGTGCAGCTCATTCATAGTTTCAGTTTAGAAATGAAAGGAGATAGATGGTATGTGTTAGTCGTGGCAATTATGGTCTCTCAGTTGACTCTACTTTGTTTTGAAAGATTCGATAGATGAAGCTTCAATAACTTACGGGGTAATTAATTCCATTCGTTGATGATTCGATGGGAACATCGATAGTCAGCTGACAAGTAATTTGTTCTGGGCTTGTGAACTTTTTTAGATTATCCTCGTAAATTCCCTGTTTTGAGAAACCAAAAAAGTAAAGGCACATCGAATGCGAAATCATCACTAAGTGATTTGAAAACTGTAATCAGGTTACCAGTCGAGCATCATACTGGAGGTACACTATTCCGGGAATCAGCTTATTTGCTCTTCTCCGAACCGTTTCCAGAGGCTCAACGTCTTATTTAAGCAGGGGCTAGCTGCCTCTATGCAGTACTTAAGTTTAGGAGGCACGAATACTTTATACAAAGTCAAAACGGCATTAGCGTCGACATGACTGAAGGCCCTACGTACTGAATATAAGGTTCTAAAACCTTTCACGGCTATTGCACGGCAGTGTGAAATAGTTTATAAATCTTGGGTAACGATGACTCCTAAGTGATTGTTTGCCTGGACAACATGTAGCTCAATCTTATTGATCATGTATGATGATTATGATCATGTACCTGACCGTTGCTACTGCCTTGACGTCGTGGTCGGGCTTGCCTATCGTGATGAACCAGTCAAGCTATGCTGGCTGGAGCAATCGTTCCTCAAGGTCCTGCCATGCCAGGCAGGTCGTTTGAAGAGCGGTAAGACTAAAAGCAGCAATCCCGAAGGCGAAGTCGTACTGCCGACTGTACAGAGGTGTGACGGCAGTAAGGTGTTTCCTTCAGACAACCAGCATGACAGCGATGCTGCCTTCCCACAAGGAGGGGCTGGGATTAGAAAAGGTCGACCCTAAAAATGGACATCTCACCTTATCCCACGGATTTCCATCTCCAGCCATAAGGTCCCAACAAGTACGGAGGCAACACAAAAATTGCTCACAGAAAGGTAGTATGTGACCGACCTCAGGCAGTTGTCCCTTGGGCACTGCGCTCACGCTCTCAGATCATTAAGACCACTTCTAACCCAATTTCCTTTTCAGGTACCTCTAGAAGAACCCTTCCACGGTGTGGGCAACCGGGAAGTGATAACTGCCCTCATACCTCTAACAGCACTCAAGACCACTGTATTCATAATCAATCTCCTTCTTCAATCCTTACTATTCCTTCTACCTTGACTTTCAACACTAAACTTCCTCTCTCGATTTCCTCCTCAAGTGTCACCATGGCCAACGATTCTAGTGCGCGAAATGCTGTCCCAGGTCTACTTAAACATCGCTCCAAACTACACATTGGAACCTTCAACGTACGTACCCTATGCCAAATCGGTCAACAGGCCTCCTTAGCTAAAACCCTAGAATCTCGTACCATTAATGTATGCTGTGTCTCCGAAACACGCATACAGGATCCCAGTGTGGTCATTCACTTGACCTCACCTGGTCAAAACGGACAGCCAAGATATACCCTCCGTGTATCTGGCGACCCGATAGCTAGTTTTCATATTTCGGCTCAGCAAACAGATAACTGTGATCATCTGCTGCATGTGTACTCAAGCAACTATTTATTTTTAGCAAACACTTATTTTAAGCATAGGTAGAGATATCGTCTAACATTGCGACCACCTGCACCAAACCAACGATGGACTCAAATAGACCATATTGCCATCAGTCATCGTTGGAGAGGCTTGATAGAAAACTGTCACTCGTTATGGAATACATGTTTAGACTCTGATCACGCCTTAATACGAGCACGCATTAGCTGGCGCCTCACCGGACGCAGAAAAACCGTAGTAAGAAGACCCATTAGAATTAAGTACAGTGACGAGGAAGTCAAAAGAAAGTTCCAGGAACAACTGAGTTCACATCTAGGCAGTTTTGTAAACGAAGCTGAACCAGATGTTGCTCGGAAAGATATACGAACAGCTCTGGGAACAGCAGCAACACCTATTAGTAATTCAAACCAAAGGGTTCCAAAAAACCAATGGATTTCTTCTAAGTCTATTTCACTGATGGATTCGCGTAAACTCATCCCATCAGGCTCTGAACATAACGAAGAGCGTAAAGAAATTAGATCTAGGTTAACTAAAAGTCTAAGGAACAATCGTGAGCAGTGGTGGGCAACGAAAGCAAAAGAGATGGAAAAGGCAGCGGCTGTAGGCAACACCAGACAATTCTTCAGACTGATAAAATAAACCGCAATCAAGAAGTCAATTGTAATCGAGACAATCTCGGAAAAAGACGGAACCCTTATCTGCTCTCAGCCCAGACGTTTAGAACGATGGGCGGAACACTTTAAAGGAGAGCTTAGCTGGCCTTCAGCTACTCTACAGATACCCACCATTCCCAACACAGTCTGGATGGAACATTGAAGTAGGCCCCCCGACCCTACTTGAAGTCCAAAAGGCTATAGGTAATCTGAAATGAGGAAGAGCAGCTAGTCCAGACAGTTTGGCTCCAGAGGTCTTTAAATATGATGGTCCAATTTTAGCGATTAGGTTGACTAATATTCTGGCTAAAATCTGGGAGACGGATGTAATCCCATCCGACTGGTCACAATCACTGATTGTCCCAATATATAAAAAGGGGTCAAACTCATCCTGTGATAACCATAGAGGGATTAGTCTGACTAACATAGCATCTAAAATACTAGCCTCAATAATTATCAGGCGCCTAACTAAGACTCGTGAACTGCAAACACGAGAAAATCAGGCTGGGTTGAGACTGGGTCGTGGCTGTATCGACTATATATTCACTATTCATCAGGTTTTAGAGCCCAGACATGCTTATCGGCGTCCGACGATGATAGTTTGTCTTGACTTGAAAGCAGTATTCAACTCTGTAGACCAAGATGTTCTGTGACAGTGTCTGTTATTGAAATGTGTACCTCAGAAGTACATAAACCTTGTGAAGGCTCTTTACTCGAACACTACCAGTCAAATCAGAGCTTATGGAAAGTTATCATCTGATTTTACGACCTCAAGTAGTGTCCGGCAAGGCTGTCCACTATCTCAATTGTTTGTTTAACTTCATCATAGACTTGCTGCTGGAAATAACGCTCTTGTCGACTGAATTTTCAGGAATCGATCTCCTACTGGGAAGTCCACTTATCGACTTAGAATACACAGATAACATAGTCCTATTTAGTGAAGACGCTGACAAAATGCAGAGTGTTTTGCTAGTTTTGAGCAAGAATGACGGGATGTTTGGGATGCGGTTCTCTTTTTTCCAATGCGAATTGTTGCTTCAGGACCGGCCTGCGTCAACACACGAACTAAGGATAGGGAGTGAAGTAATCAAACGCGTCAACAACTTCAATTGTCTTGCAAGTCAGATCAGCTCTGATGTGTTGGTGTCTGACGAAATCTCAGCACGGATTCAGAAAGCTCGTTTGGCTTTTGCCAGCTTACTTTACCTATGGCGAAGGCGATGACACATTCATTTCACTATGTATATATATGTACACCTTAATCCTGTTCACTGTGCTGTACTAGCTTACTCGCTCGCTCATTTGCCGCTCACGCTCACTCGCCTGCTTTACGGCACTACTCTTTCATACTTGCTTAACGTGCCTGTAATTTGGGATATCTGTGCTTGGTCCAATGATAAACGCATTCAACACTTCGTATTCTCCTTCTGATTTAAACACGGTTGGGGCGTTATGGAATAACGGTTGTCAGGTCGAAAATACACGAAGCTTAGGGATAATATCGAATATCGACCACCACAAACTTAGGGGTCTGTTCAGTTATGATGAATATGAAGTATGTATCACAATATATAAAAGTTAAAGTGAAAAGTTGATATATAAAGTTCCAAAAAGGAATGAACTCACAACCTACGAATAGGTGTACCATATGACGTCGGGCTCACCACTAAAAATGCTACAAGTATCCGGAGTTTGACAACACCTTAACCAGTAACACTTTTTATAATCGTAACGTATCAACCCAGTGAAATCAGAAGTCAGTAGCGAAGAGGCTCCAAGATATATTTGACAGTGTCCATATATGGAGAAGTCTTCAGTAATAAGGATAATAGGTTGGTGAACCTGTGTTAATCCTGATAGATTTCCTTCTAGTGAAGGTCCAGGTTCTCCTTGAAAATGTTCAATTATGGGGCTGATACCACTTGTTCGGGTAGGGAGTTGCTGTCATTGACCACTCGATGAGAAAAACGGGACCCCACCTTAAGTTTATTGGATCGCTGTTTGTGAACATTCTTGCTATGACCTCGGAGATTATCAATGCTGGAGGGAGCAAATAGATAAGACATATTAACACGCAAATCATAATTAAGGATACGAAATGCCAGTATAAGGTCACCTTGCGTCCTACGAAACGACAAGGGGAAAAGGTTTAGGCGTTTTAAATGCTCATCTTGAGGGAGTTAAGAAATATTCTTCACCAATTTCGTCCGCACATACTGAACACGCTCAAGCGGGTTAGTGTCGTTTATCAGATATGGGCTAGTTGTTTGAATACAGTACTCTAAGTATGGTCATACGTAGGTGAAATATAAAACTCAAAACATCTCTTCAAAGCATTTGGATGCTTGGAGAAGTGACCATAGCTCACAATAACCTTTGGGAGCGGTTGCGTTGCAATGCGTAGTTGCTTTCAAGTCGTGACTTATTACTACTCCTAAATCTTTATGTTCTTGAACGTGTGGAAAAGATGTACAATTTATGGTATAATGGTAACTATTACCGCGCCCGATCTTCATGAGCACACTTCCTGGAATCAACTTCTAAGCCCCAAATACAAGCCCATCTAACCAATTTGTCTAAGTCAACTTGGAGATGAAAACGATCAGCCTCACTTCTTATTGTCCTCTAGATTTTAACATCACCCGCAAACAATAATATCGACGACTTAAGCAATAACGGTAATTCATTAACATAGAAAAAGAAAGGTAGGGGACATAACGTGGTGCCTTGTGGTACATCACTTTTGACCGACTTCCGCTCGGGTGGCGTTCTACTGACCCTCACTCTCTGTCTGTGGTCACATAAAAAGTCTCCTACCCATTCCTGTATATCACCTGTTATTGTAAAGCTCGAGGGCTTCTGCATAATACATGAATGTGAAACCTTGTCAAACGCTTTGTCAAGCGTGAACACTTGTTACGAAATCCATGTTGCTCGGGATTTAACAGACTGTACTAATCTATGCTACCTAGTAACTTAACCCGAATTGTCTTTTCAACTAACATAACGACCATGCTGGTTAGGCTTACAGGCCGGTAGTTAGATGAAATAAATCTCTAACCATCCTTAAATATAGGACTGACTATAGCGTCTTTCCAATCTCTAGGGTGCTGAGAGGGTGAAAGGGATATGTTGAAGATCGTTGCGAGCGGTCTGGAAATAATGTCCTCAAGCGATGACAGCAAACGTCGATGTAACCCATTGAGGTCCGGTATCTTACAAGGTTTGGGTCTCGCCTCCAACACGTTTACCGAGTCTTGTTATTTTCGTGATATGTACCCCTGGAACTTCTTTAGACAGTACATTTCTGATGACAGATTCCACTAACTGCAGATCGTGTTGGTGTCTTTTAGAAGGGTCATTGTCTTTCGACTCTTCTAGATTCCAAATAATTAAACTAGGAACGTGTTTAACTTCTTTAAAAGTCATGTTCACGGCTTTCGACTGTGATATCAGATCCTGCCTGCTGACCACTGATATCTTACCGTCAGCTTTCCTTGTAACAGTGTTGTGTTAGTCGAGCGAATGACTCATAACAATGTTTGATGAGGCCATACTTTTCCCATATACGATAGGGCTTAATATTGTCTTACTTTCGGACTTTAGCTGAGTAATGCGACACGCAGAATGTGAGTCCAACAACGACGTTTCAAGTAAACGGGTGCTTTTTGGGCTATCTTTCTTTCACTTGTACGTTTTCACGTCACCTATTTCCCATCAGTCGCTGCTGTAGCAACTTGGCCACCAATATCTAATGATGTATCGCTCAACTGTTTCGAGGTAGAAAGCTCTGTTTCGTGTTGCACAGTTGGGTGTCTGGCACGTGCCGTGACAGCACTTACGATACTGACACATTCTTCGTTATCAGTATCCATGTTACCCGTACAGCCCTCGTCAACGTTTTCGTTAGCCAACACCAGAAGGCTAATTACCTCTTGAATGAGTGATGTTCCGCTTGAACAACAAAACATACTGAGTCAATGAGAGTCAGGCTTTAAGCACCTTTCGTAGGCTGTGGGACTTAAGCGGGTGCACATTTTATGGAACCGCATCTTACACTCAACATATTGCATTCCTTCTTCCACAGGGAATAAGAAATATGACTGCTCACACTTGTGAGCAGAGCCGAACATCTTAAAAATTGACCAAAATTGTAGACAAAATGTATGTGTAAGACAAATCTCAAACCTTGATCAAATAAATCAAGCCAAAGTCGACCAAGAATGCTTTGATGCAGTAAATACACAAAAGCAAGGTAAAAACTCACAAATACAGTATCACTTTAACTGAAATAAATTCATTCAAAGTGTAACAGCAGCTTTGATGTGTAGTTTACGATGAAAACTGTGAATTTAACGAGAAACAATACCACTGTCCTTACATAATAGCGCGCGTCAGTGACTAATCTAAATTGACTAGCAGTTGTAGGAGAAGTGAAGCATGGCTTACTCACTCGTGATCTGATGCGGATGCATGACCGAGCGCTTCAGCTAGGTAAGTTCATTGACACTATTGTGGCCAGCATAAAATGTTGAAGACTTACAGAGCTATTGATTTTAGGGATTTATTAACCGCTTCACAACGTTCGAACAGTCTATGATACTGGTTCCTAAAAAAAATACGTACATCGACCAACGCTTAGCTATTCTTGTCACTTAAAACTGAATACTAAAGAGTATTGGTGATCCATTGAACGCAGTCATAAAACTGGTTGTTTGCGTACAATTTCAAGCAACCCGATACGATGCTCGGGAACTATGTACGTGCATTGTTGGGACGAGGATATCTTGTCGGGGTGAATTTAGAGAGTGTGAGGAATGCCAAAACCTGTTTGCCTTATTCAGAATATTATCCAAATATCTATCCTCAAGTGACAGGAGAACTTAGTGACCTGGAGTTTCCTCCAGATAGAAGGCGTTTATCTGCTGTCAATCGACAGCCTCAGCTAACAACTGGTACTAAGCCACCTAAATATACAAGACAAAAAATTGACTGGCGTGGTCCGGAAACCTTGTTTAACAAATTAAACTATCGTCAGTACGGAGTACAAGTAAGTTAATATTTCTTATGACTTCATCGTTACCCTAAAATATTACTTCGTATTGTTACTATAGTTACGATTATATTTAACAGTTTTTTCTTACTTCGGTTCTCAATAACTAGCATTGACATACAATCGATTACAGGATGACTGTCGGCCGATTGGGTCTGATCCACAAGGCAGTGTAGCATCGTAAGGAGATGCAGTCCCATTGTAGCCGGTGACCAACGATTGATCCATACGCCATTTATTCCCTCAGGATACTGGAGCCCATATGCACCATTGGTTTAAAATCAGGGTTTTCCAGTCCCCCTAGATGGACTTCCCGTATCCACTGGCCCGGTTAAAACGCCAGACATTCGCTTTTCATCCTCTACTGGAACACTTCCATCTTTTACTGCAGCCCAGTCTTTTCTTGCAATAAGATTTGCCAAGCACGTTAAGCCTTTCCTAAAACCATGTTCCCTGATTAAAAGATTATTCCCCTCTACATGGCTTATGGTGGCCACCTGAACAGCATTTAACATCAGTTCAACTTCACTGGTTAGACCAATAGGATGGTAGTTACTAATCGTCTGCCCCCCCGCTTCATAAACCTAACTGGTAATTGCGTTTTTCTAGTCCCTTGGCAGTTAGGACTGCGTGCGTTTTGAAAAGGGCAGTGAATTCCAATCATAATGTGAAATAACTTTTATTCTTCCTACCGATACCATTAAAAGCATACTTGGTCAACTTACATTATTTTGGTTAATGTCTGAACTTTCCTCAGATTTTTTTCGTAGTATTGTTTTTTCTTGATGGTCAATGCCAGGAGGCTCACTGCCTTGTGGACCAGTAATGTCTCATTTGAACGGCAAAACATACAGGATCAACAGGAATTAGGGTTTGAACATCGCTTATATGCGGTGAGTTTCAAACACGTAAACATGTAAGACAATCTGCCACATCGATCACACTAGCAGGGAAGAAAGAATTAAGCCATCTACGTTCTAATGCATCTGACCATTATGCAAAATTTACACAAAATTTTCTATGTAGTAAGGAACCTCGGAGAATAAAATAGTGTAAAATTTAACAGACTGAAAAAAAACGCAAAATTCTGGTGTAAGAATCAACCAGAAACGGAGCATTACAAAACAAATTTGGTTTTTCCTCTTTTCTTACTTTATGTAAATGATTTATCAACTGTCGCAAAGTCTTCCATTCCACTCTTTGCTGATGATACTAAGATTTGGAGACCCGTACAGTGCATGTCTCATAGATTAATATTACAATAAGACTTGAATTCACTGGTGAGGTGTATGAATAGATTGTCATTAGAAATTAATTCCAGCAAGTGTAGTGATGTAAATTAATAATTGCGACGATTTAAATAATTACATAATAAGTGAATTGGTATTACCTAAAGTCACGGATTATAAAGATGTAGGAGTCACAATTAGCAGCAACCTTAGAACTGTGAGTAGCTGTTAGGTTGTTGTTACTAAAGGCTTTAGGGTCTTATGGGCTGTTCGACTCGACCGTTGCTGCTACCTTGACGTGGTGGTCGGGCTTGCCTATCGTGATGAACCAGTCAAGCTATGCTGGCTGGAGCAATCGTTCCTCAAGGTCCTGCCATGCCAGGCAGGTCGTTTGAAGAGCGGTAAGACTAAAAGCAGCAATCCCGAAGGCGAAGTCGTACTGCCGACTGTACAGAGGTGTGACGGCAGTAAGGTGTTTCCTTCAGACAACCAGTATGACAGCGATGCTGCCTTCCCACAAGGAGGGGCTGGGATTAGAAAAGGTCGACCCTAAAAATGGACATCTCACCTTATCCCACGGATTTCCATCTCCAGCCATAAGGTCCCAACAAGTACGGAGGCAACACAAAAATTGCTCACAGAAAGGTAGTATGTGACCGACCTCAGGCAGTTGTCCCTTGGGCACTGCGCTCACGCTCTCAGATCATTAAGACCACTTCTAACCCAATTTCCTTTTCAGGTACCTCTAGAAGAACCCTTCCACGGTGTGGGCAACCGGGAAGTGATAACTGCCCTCATACCTCTAACAGCACTCAAGACCACTGTATTCATAATCAATCTCCTTCTTCAATCCTTACTATTCCTTCTACCTTGACTTTCAACACTAAACTTCCTCTCTCGATTTCCTCCTCAAGTGTCACCATGGCCAACGATTCTAGTGCGCGAAATGCTGTCCCAGGTCTACTTAAACATCGCTCCAAACTACACATTGGAACCTTCAACGTACGTACCCTATGCCAAATCGGTCAACAGGCCTCCTTAGCTAAAACCCTAGAATCTCGTACCATTAATGTATGCTGTGTCTCCGAAACACGCATACAGGATCCCAGTGTGGTCATTCACTTGACTTCACCTCGCCAAAATGGACAGCCAACGAAATACACCCTCCGTGTATCTGGCGACCCGTTAGCTAGTTCTCGCGGACTTGCAGGTGTTGACATAGCACTAAGTACAAGGGCAGAACAGGCACTACTAGAATGGATGCCCGTTAACAGTCGCCTGTGTGCTGTCCGGCTAAATGGCTCCGTAAGAACTCGGAAGGATAGGGACACACGTCGTTGCCTTTTCGTCGTTTCTGCCTACGCTCCCACCGACTGCAGCCATGATGAAGTGAAAGATGACTTTTACAGAAAGCTCTCTTAGCTTCTTCAGAAAGCTAAGCGCTCAGACATAGTAGTCGTAGCGGTTGACTTTAATGCCCAGGTAGGCAGCTCAAATCAAACAGAAAGACATTTAGGTGGGTGGTCTGGTATGTGACGAAATCTCAGCACGGATACAGGAGGCTCGTCTAGCTTTTGCCAACTTGCGTCATTTATGGCGTAGGCGAGATATCCGTCTAGCAACCAAAGGACGGGTTTACTGTGCAGCAGTTCGCTCCGTCCTACTTTATGGCAGTGAAACATGGCCAATAAGAGTAGAGGATATTCGTAGGCTACTAGTGTTCGATCATAGGTGTCTTCGGAGCACTGCTCGTATATCCTGGGACCACCGGGTAAGTAATGTAGTTGTTAGGAAACGAGTACTAGGTAGGGATGGCAAATCGATTGATGAAGTAGTGAAACTTCATCAGTTGAGATGGCTGGGACATGTGTTATGTATGCCCGACCACCGACTGCCCCGACGTGCAATGTTTCATGGTGTAGGAGTAGGTTGGAAGAAAGCTAGGGGTGGCCAGACCAAAACGTGGCACAAATCAGTGAAGTCACTGACAAGTGGACTGGGCCATGTTGGTAGGTGTAGACTACCTGGTTGGGATTCGCGAGATGACAGCAACCGATGGTTAGAGACCTTGAATGACATGGCTCAAAATCGTTTGCAATGGCGAGGGTGCATCCACTCTTTGTGTTCTCCCAAATTCTAATCTTCTGAATTCCTCATGTCTTTATCTTTTTCTCTTTCCAAATTTATTTCACCGTATTATACTCCTTCAATAATTTCTTCAAACCCTAATCTTTTGGATTTCTGATTATACTCCTACTACTTCTACCACTATGGGATTTGAATTGACAACTGCATCTCTGTGCTAATGTGGTATGGCAACTCGAACTGATGTACGTACGTACGAAGTTCCACGTTGTGACTGACTGACTAGGTGGGTGTTTTAGTATTCCGGCTCAACGAACCGATAATGGTGATCGTCTGTTGCAACTATGCTCAGACAATCGTTTATTTTTAGCAAGCACTAATTTCAAACATAATGAGAGACATCGTCTAACATTGCGACCACCTGCACCAAACCAACGATGGACTCAAATAGACCATATTGTCATCAGTCATCGTTGGAGAGGCTCAATAGAAGATTGTCGCTCGTATTGGAATACTTGTTTAGACTCTGATCACGCTTTAATACGAGCGCGCATTTGTCTGCGCCTCAATGGACGCAGGAAAAGTACACTAAGAAGACCCATTAGGATTGAACTGGAGGACGAGAAAGCCAAATGCGAATTCCAGAAACAACTGAGTTCACATCTAGGCAGTTCTGTAAACGAGACTGACCCAGATGCTGCTTGGAGAGACATACGAACAGCTGTGGAAACAGCAGTAACATCTATTAGTCATTTAAACCATAGGGCTCTAAAAAACCAATGGATTTCTTCTAAGTCTATTTCACTGATGGATTCGCGTAAACTCATCCCATCAGGCTCTGAACATAACGAAGAGCGTAAAGAAATTAGATCTAGGTTAACTAAAAGTCTAAGGAACAATCGTGAGCAGTGGTGGGCAACGAAAGCAAAAGAGATGGAAAAGGCAGCGGCTGTAGGGAACGCCAGGCAACTATTCAGACTAATAAAAAAACCGGAATTAAGAAGTCAAGTGTAAGTGAGACAATCTCGGAAAAAGACGGAACCCTTATCTGCTCTCAACCCAAACGTTTAGAACGATGGGCGGAACACTTTAAGGAGCAGTTTAGCTGGCCTTCAGCTACTGCACAACTACCCACTATTCCTGGAAAACCTGAATGGAACATTGAAGTAGGCCCCCCGACCCTACTTGAAGTCCAAAAGGCTATAGGTAATCTGAAATGAGGAAGAGCAGCTAGTCCAGACAGTTTGGCTCCAGAGGTCTTTAAATATGATGGTCCAATTTTAGCGATTAGGTTGACTAATATTCTGGCTAAAATCTGGGAGACGGATGTAATCCCATCCGACTGGTCACAATCACTGATTGTCCCAATATATAAAAAGGGGTCAAAATCATCCTGTGATAACCATAGAGGGATTAGTCTGACTAACATAGCATCTAAAATACTAGCCTCAATAATTATCAGGCGCCTAACTAAGACTCGTGAACTGCAAACACGAGAAAATCAGGCTGGGTTGAGACTGGGTCGTGGCTGTATCGACTATATATTCACTATTCATCAGGTTTTAGAGCCCAGACATGCTTATCGGCGTCCGACGATGATAGTTTGTCTTGACTTGAAAGCAGTATTCAACTCTGTAGACCAAGATGTTCTTAGACCTGTTGCTGGAAATAACACTCTTTTCGACTGAATTTACAGGAATTGATCTCCTACCAGGGGGACCACTAAGCGACTTAGAATACGCAGATGACATAGTCCTGTTTGGTGAAGACGCTGGCAAAATGCAGTCTTCTGTTTTAACTCAGTAATAATGCCAGGATGTTTGGGATGCGTTTCTCCCCATCCAAATGTAAATTGTTACTCGAGGACGCACGGATTCGAAAAGTTCGTTTGGCTTTTCCCAACTTACGTCACCTATGGTGAAGACGAGATATCCGTCTATCAATTAAAGGACGAGTATACTGCGCATCAGTTCGCTCTGTTCTACTTTACGGCTGTGAAACATGGCCATTAAGAGTAGGAGATACTCGTAGGTTACTAGTATTTGACCACAGATGCCTTAGAAATATTGCTCGCATCTGCTGGGATAACCGGGTAAGTAATAGTGAGGTTAGACGCAGGGTATTAGGGAACGATGGTAAATCAGTTGATGAGGTGATGAATCTTCATCGACTGAGATGGTTGGGCCATGTGTTACGTATGCCTGAACACCGATTACCACGACGCGCTATGTTGACTAGTGTAGAGGATGGTTGGAAGAGAGTTAGGGGCGGCCAAACCAAAACATGGCATCAGTGTTTGAAGTCACTAACTTCTAGTCTGAGCCATGTTGGCAGATGCAGACTACCTGGTTGGGGTCCGCGTGACTATCGTAACCAATGGTTGGAGACTCTAGGTGACATGGCTCAGAATCGATCACAATGGCGTAGGTGTATACACTCTTTATCTTCCCTTAAACCTTGAGACTAAAATTGCTTCATAACTTTCTTCCTTCCTGTACTATATCCTTATATACAACCTATAATTTGTATACTACTACCAACACTAAATTAACTACTATGAATCTGGTGTTCATCTTGTTGTGCTAACGAGGTATGGCAACTTGGACCGATGCATATATGTGCCTGGTCCTACGTTGTAACTGACTGACTGACTGATGGGCGTAAGTCACCTCGTCATTTAGATGGAGAAACGTTAGGGTATTATACCCGATGTTTGCAAGGCCTTATTCGGAATGCGAGATTCAAGCAGAGTCCTTGTTTCAAATGTGAAATGGCTTATCGTCAACTGAATGATGATATTGTTATTAATATGTCTTGTACTTTCCTTCCATATGGAAATTATTATTCAATACGACATTGTAAGGAAATTAAAAAATGGAGACCAAGTCGTCTACGTCTGAAGTTTCGTTTCTTGTTTCGAGTAGTGAATTACTATAATCCTCTATTAGAACAAATAATATGAGTGCCTGTTGGTAAGTTCAAATCGAGATTTAATCTCATCGTACTTCAGATTTCGAGTATTAAAATAACTCACTTGACCATCTATCCTTATTTTTGGAGACTAAAGAATTATGAATATCAGATTTATATTTCTTAGTTAAAAGTTAGTAATACTTTTCGATTGCTCTGGCTGAGATACTTTGGATAGTGTACAAAACTGCAGTCTGTTGTCTAAAATTTATGTTTACTTGCTATAAACTACTATAACAAAACTATATTGAGAAAAAGTCAAAAAGGAAGTATGTGCCATACACCGATGAAAAACTTTTGGTCTCCTGTCCTGTTTACTTTCCATATAAATATGAAATAAGATGTAGCTGTTCCGTTTGCTTTCTTAAGTGAAATGAATTTCTGTGAATCTTGAAATGGCATTAACCATTAATTCATAGCGTATCACCAGTATAAACCCATAATATCAGTTTTATTTTTTAATTGGTCATTTCCAGTGTATCTGTAAATGTTTCTTGCAAATATGGGGTTGTAGTATGGGTTCCATTATCACCTCGACTTGCCTGTACAACCAATTTCTTTAAAATACACGAAACATTCACAATTTTTTCAAACGAAGTTCCTTTCTAACCCATAGTACAAATCTAACTATTCGTCCTTAAATTTACTCCACTATCAAAGTTACCGGATCAATAAATAAATATTTTACATCAACAGATGCCGTGTGTTAGTATATAACAACCAATCGATTGTTGAACAGAGTCGTGTAGGTAGTTGTAGACTACATAGTTGGGGTCTGAGATTATCGTAACCAATGGTTAGAAAGTTTGAGTAACACGTCTCAAGGTCGTTTGTAATGCCCTGCATGCATGCACTCTTTTTCTTCCAAGTCATAAGTTTACCAGTAATTAAAAAAAATTCCACAGTTTCATATTTTCTTCGCGAATCATATATTGTATTGCTAGTCTTTCCTGCTACTATTAATAGTTAATAATTTCACTACTTTGCCATCCCTCTGTACTGATTTGATGTATCAACTCGAACCGATACATTTGCCAGATTCTACGTTTCGCATGACGGACTGTAACAATCAATTTTATTAATAAGTCGACAATTTTTAATTAGGATTATTTGTTTCACAAGTCTCCTTAAGCTACTCAACCGCATAGTGTATGACCGCATAGTATGACCAAGAAATATGTAAAACCGATAGGTAATATTATAAGAGAATAAGACTTAAAATCACATAAATTACAATCAAAGTAGACCTCATATTACTATTTAATGAATAATGCTAGAAAACTGCAACATTATTACCAACAGGTTTTATTTTCGCCCATGTCTTGTGATAACTTAATCCACTAAGTTGTCCAACCCCTGAAATCTTATACAATAAATTGCTATTCACCAATAAATACTGACCTAACACATCTTTCTTTCCACAACGCCTCTTCGTAAGGTGATCACGTTTCTGTATGCTGGGTATAATTCAATATAGTAACATGCATAAAACCTAACAAGTCCATCTATTTCAGGAGTAGAATACTTACTGAATCAACATCCCAAACTCGCGTTTTTAGACCTCAAAAGTAAGCGTAGTTTAACCACCTTACTTATTAAATTATTTCAAAGACAATTATGATAGATTACAGTTGTCATGCTTCGCAGACGTAAAGTAAAGCTGCTAACCCTAGAATAATGTCAAAAAGGAACTTGAGTTAGCTTAAGTCACCATTCAATACTTCGACGCCTAACTAAAGTTCGTGAAGCGCAGACTAGAGTAAACCACGCTGGCTTCCGACCTGGACGTGGCTGTATTGACCAGATATTCACACGACGTCAGGTCCTAGAACATAGACACACATTTAGACGTCTCACAATCGTAGTATTTCTCGACCTTAAGGCGGCATTTGACTCTGTTAATCGTGAGGCAAGGTATCAGTCTACCGACCAAAGGAAGGGCTTACTGTGCAGCATTTCGTCCAGTCCTACTTTATGGCTGTGAAACATGACCGGTAAGAGTAGAGGACATTCGTAGGTTACGTTTATTTGATCATAGTTGTCTTCGAAGCGTTGCTCGTATATCCTGGGACCACTGAGTAGGTAATGCAGTTGTTAGGAAACGGGTAAGGTGGGAAATCGATTGATGAAGTAGTGAAACGTCATCAGTTGAGGTGGCTGGAACACGTGTTACGTATGCCAAACCACCGACTGCCCTGAAGGGCAATATTTTATGGTGTAGGAGTAGATTGGAAGGAAGCTAGGGGCGGCCAGACCAAAACATGACACATCCATTAAGTTACTAACAAATGGACTGAGCCATGCTGGTAGGTGTAGACCTCGTGGTTGGGATCCGCGAGATGATAACAACCGATGATTAGAGACCTTGAATGACATGGCTCAAAATTGTTTACAATGGTGAAGGTGCATCCACTCTTTGTGTTCTCCCAAATTCTAATCTTCTGAGTTCTTCACTTCCCTAGCTTTTTTCTCTTTCCAAATTTATTTCACTGGATTATACTCCTTGAATAACATCTTAAAACCCTAATCTTTCTGATTACTGCTTATACTCTTATTACCTCTACCACTATGGGATTGTAGTATCGGTGTATATGTTAAGCCCATATACTTTATTCTAGTTGCTGGCCTAGCCAATTCGCCTATCCATTATGAGTCATATTTTGATCTTGTTAATTATTCGCTTACTAACCTTGACTACCTTGTTATATGAGCGCATGTGTATGTATCCTTCTTATCCTACCTATCACATGTCTGTCATTCATTTTTGTCCGACTATAAATGTTGATTAACGCTTGCTTAAATCGAGTTGGCTTCCCAGCCATCTCCAATGCGCATTGTTCTCGCTTCGCTCTCGAGTTGGTTTCCCAGCCAATCTCCATTGCGCATGATCTTTCGCTTCGTTCGCTTTTATTCGCTTCATTACTCTGATTCTCTGGCCAGATCAATGACTGTAGAAAATATATGTATTCTAAATCTATTCTCGTATTTGACGTATTTAACTCCGTTATTCACTAACGCGGATAAAGTCATTTATTATATACGAGTATAGACAAAATCAGCTTTACGCCACAACATAATTGGATACCTCGCCGAACGAGCACGACGCAACAGAGGATTTGAATCGATAACATCATCTCTGTGCTAATGTAGTAATGACAACTTAGAATGATGCGTGTACGTACGGAGTCCTACGTTGATGCTGACTGACTGACTTACTTAACTACGTGGATGACCAACATCAACTAACCGCGGCGAGATTCCGTATGAGCCAATGGTTTGAAGTCGAGTGTTTTGATGACTAAACCACCAATCATTGCTGTAAAATTTCAAAGTATTTCTCGTCCCATAACTGTCACATAAATTTATCCTGATTGTTGCTTTTTGACCCGTTTTTATCCCCATTCCAATTCATTTTCTAGGCAATGGAGGGTGGTGAACTTGAGTTTGGTCATTTCGAAATGATGAGGATATCTATCAACAAACATATAGATGAAAAGCGAATGTTCGCAGTATGGGGTGTCGAGGCCCCCTGGAAACCAGTTACCCGTCGCTCTCAGGGGAAGAGAAAAGGTGGTGGAAAAGGTATATCCCCTTAATATTAGTTCATTTGTTCACACATACTAGTTTTCCATAGTCGTCAGAGTAGTCGGTTTAAATAATTCTCATTTCAGTTTGATGTTATTCGTCAAGTGTCTGGTATAAATATTCACCCTACAGACAATCACAGACAACACAGGTCCCAGCACAGTTATGTATTGGTTTGCCTCGGTTCACATTCAGTAAAACCAGTACCAATAAACATTAAAAAAAACTTTAAAGTATCACTGCAACTGTATCATGTTCGCATAAAAAGAAGCTACCGCAAGAAGCATCATATGGAATAGAATTCTATGGGGACCCTGGACAATATTGAAGGAAGGAAGAACAAGAAGACAGCAATTAACAACAGTCGAATATGAGCAGAGGAAGTCAAGACACAAACCGAGTACACAAGAGCAAACAAGCAAGTGAAGAAGAGCATTAAGTCCGACGAGCAGAAATACATAGAAGAACTAGCAACGACGGCGGGAATAGCTGCAAGAGAAGGGAATATGAAACGAATGCATGATACAATAAAGAAACTAGCAAAGAGATATAGCAAACCAGGGAGACCAGTCAAGGACAAAGAGGGAAATACAATCACGGAGATTCAAGAACATAGGAAAGGATGGGCAGAATACTTTAAGGAACTGTTGAATTGACCAGCTCCATTGAATCCACCAAACATTGAAGCAGAACACACTGACCTTCCTATATCTGTCACTCTACTAACGATCAAAGAAGTCAAGATGGCCATCAAACAAATCAGGAGCAGAAAAGCGGCAGGACCTGACCAGCCGAAGCACTGAAGTTAAACACGGAGGTAACAACAAACATGCTTCACCTTCTATTCAAGAAGATTTAGGAGGAGGGACAAGTGCCAACGGACTGGAAAGAACGATGCCTCGTCAAGACATCAAAGAAAGGAGATCTGAGCATATGTGAGAACTACAGAAGCATTACGCTGTTGTCAGTGCCAGGAAAGGTTTTCAACAGAGTGTTGCTGAACCGGATGAAAGACACAGTAGACACCCAACAGACTCGATTCCGTAAGGATCAGTCGTGCACAGACTAAATGCGACACTACGGATAATCGTGGAACAATCAGTTGAGTGGAACTCGTCACTATACATCAACTTCATTAACTATGAGAAGACGTTTGAAAGTGTGGACAGGTGAACATCATGGAAACTTCTTTGACACTATGGAGTTCCTATAAGATTGTCAATATTATCCAGAACCCATACGACAGACTACAGTACGAATTCGTGCATGGAGGAAAGCTGACAGATGCTTTTCCAGTAGGGACCGGAGTCAGACAAGGTTGTCTACTCTCCCCCTTCTTCTTTCTTCTGGTGATTGACTGGATTATGGAGCCTTTCTGCATCTGAGGGGAAGCACGGAATACAATGGACATTTCAGAATCAATTAGACGATTTGGACTTTGCAGATGACCTGTCCCTCATATCTCATACACACGAACAAATACAGACGAAGACAACTAATGTAGCAGTAGCCTCCGCCTCAATAGGCCTCAACATACACAAAGGAAAAAGTAAAGTTCTCAAATACAACACAGAACGCCAAGCCAATCACACTTGATGGAGAAACCTTTGAAGATGTGGAATCTTTCACGTACCTGGGAAGCATCATCGATGAACAAGGAGGATCTGGTGCAAATGTAAAGGCGAGCATTGGCAAAGCAAGAGCGAAATTCAACTGTTCCTCTTTATTTCATATTCAAGTGGACAACTCTCTCATTTACAAACTATCTGTACTTAACCTATTTGTATTAACTTTTAGATATTCGACTCAATCCCAGTCCATTTTTTAATTGATTACTTTATGTGCATTAAATAAGTGTAAATAAGATTGTACAGCTTTAGTAAGTGATATCGTGAAAAATAAGAATTTGTTCCATGAATTTTTTCATGAATTCTATGTAATGGGACAGAAATTATATTCTCTACTATTAAACAGTTTTTGGAGATGATGTAGTGCTTAAACAAAATATTGAATTGACTTTGTCGTACTTATTGAATATGTTTTTTCTGTTTTTTTTATTAGCTAACATACATCACTATTCTACTCCAGTAAAAGCTGAAAGAATAATTCTCGAACTTGGAGGTTATTTGAACTGGAGAGAAGCTTATCGTATATTGAGTCGTGCTGTTGATAAGTTGCCATTCCGGGCTAGATTTATTTCCCAAGAGCTTTTAGATACAGAGTCTCAAATAGAGGCTTACATTAAAGAAAAAAATGTAAATCCGTTTTATGAACCAGGTTATGCACTAGCGCACAACTATGCAGGCTGTCGAAGTTTCATCAGTCCGTATTATTTAGATTGGGGTACAAATAGATATCACTGATTCACCCTTATACATATAACATTTGTTGAATATATTTATAAATGCTGATGCTTTTTAATTTAAACATCATTGAATGACGAAGTTTTTAGTTACTATTCATCCAAATTTGTATATGAGCTAATCTCTGTAACTATATTTATTTTATAATAAAATTAATTTTATCAAAAGAAATTCATAGTAATTCCGAAGTTGATTTTATTCTGCTGTTTTAAATTTCCACTAATTGTTGTACTTGAGTGTATAGGTAAACGATATGTGTTAATTGAGTGCTAATTCTTATTTAAATGTGTTATATATGATTTATAAGTTATTCGATAGTCCATATTTGCGATAACATATCAGTCAAATTCATAGATCCTAATTGTATCCTCGGATAGGTTATGTCACACCTAAGTGGTTTGCATTAGTCTGGTAATAGAGGATTTATGAACTCCATATGCTAGATGACTTGTAAAAAATTAATTAATCTTTTGTAACTTCCTGGGTTTCAATCAATCTTACAACTAAAATCCTTAAAAAGTAGATTTCTGATTCTGAAAGTGAGATGAATGTTAGACTATAAACATTCATGTACAGGATCTCAGGATTTAAACATTTGCTTACTAAATAAATCCATAAATAGAAGAAACTTGTGCCTAGCTGTTGTGCTTTAGTTATAAAATTGTTTTAGATTCTATGATCTAAGTAAGTCTCTTCCAACTGACTTCTGAATACCTAGCTAACTACTGGTCACTTGTCTGTATATTCTGCCTCTGAAATCTGTAGTTTTATAACATGTTTTATAAGAGAGCTTTTACTTGATATTCGGTCTTCGTCAACTCACTCCTATGTAATTGCGGAGATTTTTACAGTATATTATTATTGCCATAAAAGAATTTATTTCTGCAATCGATTAAATCTTAGTCATTAAGACTCCCAAGAATCTGGCACAAACCTAAGAGACTTGAATTAACTGGCTTAAAGGATTCAACAAGTAACTGGAGCCATAGTTTTAGGGTTTAGCTACCTAGTAAAGCAACTGTATTTACTAAAAATAGGACGATTTTCTCTAGTTTATGTGTAATGTCGCCTAAATAATTTTAATTTTACATCTTACCTAATTCCCATTTCAACAGCTAATATGATATTTTTTTTAAATTTCTAACCTTATCCCTTTTCTTAGAAACCTATCGATAAGTGGTTTGTGGTATCAATTCAGTTGCGAGCTTTGTACCATTAATATAGTTTTCGTCTACAAACATTACTTTTCCACTTATTTACAGTACATTTGATTAACTACCTTTTCAAAGGACATATATTTACTTCGTCATAACTGTTGAACAGGCTCGACAGTCACATTCATTCGTATAGTATTAAGTCGGAGTAACAGTTGTACAGTATAAATGTAAGGAGCTTGAGAATTTCAGTTTAGACACATCAATATATCTCAGCAAGATTAGATGAGCTAGCATGACCTTGAGCATGAATAACTTATTGTAAATCTTATTCATTGAATATAAATTTGGAAAGAAGGGAAAATACATAAACCAGCCAAAATATCCCGTTTTAGTCCTAATCAGTTCATTTTCAACGTAATCACGGCACATAAACGATGTTTACCTGATCTCGGTTTTTTGCAACGAAGTCTTTACAACGTGCGTAATAATGGAGTGTATTTTGGAGTTTTGCACACGATCAATGCCATGGAACAACAAAAGTCAAAATCGGTCAGGGATTTTTGCCGTTATTTTTCTCCTAACTTATGGCAATTTTAAATTCTGCTTTTCATTGAGTGACAGTGTTAAAAATCCCAAGCTTATGGTTGGATTTAATTTAACAAAACTACTTGGCCTACTTTAACGAGTAATAAGTAGTACCCGTATTTCGACTAAAATTGCCAAGTTTCTAATGTTTTGTACTTGTCATAGCACTCTTGTTAAACTGCAAGATGCAAGTGCATCCAGCTGATGAATCACAAATAGAAGTAAACGTGCGTCATGAATTCTATCGCTGTTCATCATCCAACTCATTTGAAGATAACCCAGAATAATTATTTCAAAAATATGGGAAGCATTATTATTAATGGCTTTATTCAATATTATAATCTGGTACAATATAGAATTCTCAGGTTCAGTTTCATCACAAGAATATCAGTTTACAAAACTAAATCATAAATACTATTTCAAAACATAAAATTAAGATGTTACTGGAGGCTGATGGTACAGCGTGACGTAAAAGCTGTGTAATTACGATTAGTATATATTTCAGACCATTAGTTTCTAATTTAATGTAAAAATTCCTGTTAATTTATCACATATTAGCCTTAGAGACTTAACAAAATAAAATGATGTTGAAAAATAAGTCGTAAATAAAACAAAATATTTTGTATAAGCTGTTTTGAAGTTCTTTGGAGTCGAAGGATACCAAGTTGAATCAAATTTTTACGACTTCAGGTGTAAAAAACTAAAATCATCAAGGTGACGCTTTTCTCTAGTACAACAGAGTCTCTGTTTGATGTCAAAAAAGAAACATAGGTCCATGCTGAGTAAATCTAGATAAAGTTGCGCCACTTATTTTAATGGCTACATAGAAAACATTTACCTAGAGACTTCAGTTATCATTTTAAATGTTGATCTTAGAGTAGTTGCTATTTATTAGCTGATCTGTTTATATACTCCAGTGATACGAGATCCACTTGTGATTCATGATATGAAGGTTGCGTTGCACACTCTAATTTCTGAAGGAGCACAAGTTTTCTTCGGCAGTACAGATGCGCCTTGAGCATCCAATCCAAATTTTTCTGTTGGATATTCTTGTCAATCAAATATGTTCTAAGTAATTATTTCTTAGTTATGAGCAAAAATGACAACTTTTTTCAAACAAAGCTACCAATTAAAGTCTTCTTATTACAGTTTCTGTAAGCCAAGTTCATTGTGGAATTTTCACCAATTATTTTGTTTTACGTAATTTATTCAATATAACATCAGTTTATTCAAGTCATGAAACAATTTTTAATCAGTAAGTAATATAGAAAAATCCTTAATTGATTATTGCATATCCACTAATTAAGAATCCAAGCGAAAATAACGATATCGTCTGAACACTTATAAGAAGTTCAAAGTATTCAATTAACATACTGGTATTCTCGAGTTCTATGAGACATTTTTATTCATTCTTTTTCTTGCTAAATTAAAATAACTAAGTATTTATTTCTATACTCCAAAAATTTACATTTATATAACTGTTCTATAAAAAAACAAGCCATCATGACAGCCTGTTTTTGTTATCATTAGTGGCTTTATTCAATATGATATTTTTAGTACAATATAGAATTCTCATCGCAGAGTATTTCAGCAAGTTTCCGTTTCTTATCTCTTGATAGATATTAACAATAAATATTGAATAATCGCCAGTTGATATTAGCATTTCAGAAATCGACATCTGAATAATGTATATTCTTTTCAATGCATATTGCCAGCCATCACGATGTCTCCGATCGCATATTTTTGTAACTTGTACAGCGAATGTTCGTGAATTTTTCGCAAACGAACTTGAATAGGTTATGCAATTAATTGACATAATGATCAGTTAAAACAAGCAAGAAGACAGATAACTTGTTAAAATATCTAGATGGCAGGAACAGGTAGCCCAAATATTCAAGCAAGCCGCCTTGTGCCCCCAAATGCCCTGGTACAGCCGAGAGTGGGGAGAGTCACCTCTCCCTCTCGAAATGCACTCATATGGCCAGCGAATATATAGCCTCTGTCAGGGAAGTCCTACTCACTGCCTTCTCGTGGCGGGGGTGTTGTTTACGAAAGTGAGAGGACGAAAAGCGAATGTCTGGCACTTTAACCGGGTTGGTGGACACGGCGCGTCCACCTAGGGGAGTTGGAAAACCCTGATTCCAAACCTGTGGTGCACATGGGCTCCAGTATCCTGAGGGAACAAATGGCGTACGAATCAACCGTTGATCACCGACTACCATAGGACTGCATCTCCTCACGATGCTCCACTGCCTTGTGGATCAGACATTCAGGTCAAAGGCTCCGGGTGTGGCCCCCTAAGAAAACCACCTGCTTCAGTCTGGGCAGTATCACAGCCCTCACACAAATCGAATGAGATTTGTGGGGCGCATATTTATCGGGTACTTTTTTGTACCAATATTTATGTGTTTAAATAAATAAATAACATACGTATACAGGTATCAATTCTAATACATTTTCAACCTGTTGAAATAAGTAATTTACAGTTGCTAAAGTTACAATTTACTGAGTATTATTATGAATACTTTGAAATAATTGTTCCCCTATTACACCATTACTATTACTGCTACCACACTGTTATATTTTTATTACCTGAATTCATGACCTAATTGAAATAAAAAGAAATATACCAAACAGTTTAAACAATTATTATTATTATTATATTGAAACGAAAAAAATAATCAAAAGAGAGTGAGAGAAACATACTCTACTTTCATTAAATTTTTTCAGCCTTCAAAATTATTGGTTATCCTTGTAACACTGAGTTCATATGTCTTTAATAATTAAGGTTATGTATTGTTAATCTAGAAAAGAGGATAATAGTTATTCTGCATCTTTTTTCGCCTTCGTTATAAACAATGATATAAGTTACCATGTGAACCAATACCTACTAGTTAATAAATAATGGAATAAATATATTTGATAATAATAATATTATTACATTTAATAATGTGTTTTCATGCCTTAAAAACCATTACAAAAAAACACTTAAAGGATACAACTGTTTTTTTTCTTAAAACGCTTTGTAATTACATTTCATCAGAAATGAATTAACAATAAGACTGTCTTCAAAATGCAATGAATGCATTTTTTTAAACGTTTTGTTTTTATAAACTAATGCTTTGAAATCATCTTTTAACTGGTGACTAAAAGTTCTTTTTATCATCTTTTTTATATGTAACTCGTTTACAGCACTTAAATCTTGTATGATTTAAGTAAAACAAACTCTTCAAGGTCCAAAATCACTTTCAGATTTCATGCTGGAAAGTTAACAGTTTATATGAATTAGTGAATCATAAGCAATGTTTAAAACTATTGAATACAAAACGGTCCTAATGTCCTAGCTAAAGACTTATTATCTGTATATCCATGATCGCGAAGATATAAGATCAATTTTAGGTGTAGTAAATGATTCATATTGCTGAGGAGTCTACAAATGGAATGAAATTATTTTAATGGTGCTTCAAATAATAACTATAAGAAACAAAATCTAGTTTCCGGCCAAAAAGCTGTTTTAATAAAATTTACCTGTTAAATTAGAGCGGACTTGTTTAATAATGAGCATGATACCTAACTCATAATTCATTGAGCCCACATTCCAATATTAAGGGGTTTGTGATATAGTATGATGCACAACTAATATCATCAGTTAGCTAATTTACCCGTCTCAATGTGTCTGACCACGCAGGACATGACTTTCAACAGTTTTCATTAATGGAGTTAATAAAAATATACTTATATTAGCTTCATTGAGGTGCTATACCGTTCATCAGAAATTTTCATCACAAACTTTTGTCTGTTGAAGAACCTATTGTTATTTAGCACCTCGATTGATCAGTTTCTTATAGGTATATGTGCATACTGTGCGGATTGCCTCGATATCGCCTCAATTCACAATCATTACAATTATGTACTTGATGATTCTCATTTTTACTCTCAATTCGATGATTCAGAAAAAAACTTTCAACCTTCATTTTGCACTTTTATTCTTATTTTTAATTCACATAGAAACATATCAACACCGAATATCATTCATTAATAACTCATCTTACACATACATACATCTTATACATACACACAATTCATCCAGTCTCCTTTAATTCACATCGTTGAACTTTTCACTTGATCCTCATTCAACTGACTCATATTATCCTGTTTACAAAAATTTAACATCTAAATATGATTGGTTTAACGTAGTAAAGACTTTGATATGATTGTTAAAAAACAATATATATTTCTTTGATGATTTTGACTTTGATTATTTCCCTGAAGAAGTCCAGACAAGTTAGCTGGACGAAACGTTGGATTTATTTAAATTTCAATCGGTGAGACTATTTCAAATATAATTTTTCACATATAATCACTTCTCTATACTCGGTGCCCAATTTTTGTCAAGCTATTCGTTCTAACCTTGATGAATATTCGTATAAACTAAGCAAAGATAGATAGTGAGTTGCAGTCCTAAATGTCAATGGAAAGATTCAAGTAAATAATACCAAGTGAATTTAAAATTCACCCCATTGCATAAGTAAGTGGCTTTCAGGACTCATTAGCTAAGTGGATAACTCGATGGTGTTTGAAATGGACTATACTGGGTTCAGGTCCTAGAGTGGACATCAACTCTTAGATGCAGGTACATCCGACTGACAAACCCATAACAAGACGAAACGTTCGTCCTGAATTCCACTGCTAACCACCGTCCATCTATGCTCATAATTATTCTTTCAAGGGTAAAGAATATTCTTTCATCTGTTTATTTTTTGACATTCCTCAAAGTAATTGTTATTATTTTATTCATTGTTTAGTATTTTACCATAGTTTAATTGTATTTAAACAAAAGTATGTACATTATTCTATTGTTCAATTATAATAATAATAATCATACATGTATATTTAGACTAACATATAATTAACAATAGAAAAGACAATCCAATTAATTTAGTTAATTTGACAAATCTCCTCCTTTTGTTTCCCCCCCCACACCGAAAAAAGGAAAAATATTTGAATGTATCTAATAGATTATTGGTTACTTATTTGTATTCATTTGGTTATTGGTTAAATTAGTGTATAAATAGACAGGTTATAGTAGTATTGTTTTAATTGTTAAAATTTATTACAAGTTGTATAGTTTGATATACCCTTAGCAATTTCTTTTATAAAGATAGAAATAACCCCCTTTTTTAAAGGTAAGTTTTAATAAAATAAATTTGTATACCTTTTTTTATTCCCGTTAAATGGTTTCAATAATTTTTTTTCTGATTAGCGTTTTTTAGCAAGTTGGTTTTCTACGGGTTGGGGTAGCTAACCTCATGCCCAACCCTCCTTTACCCGGGCATGGGACCGGCAGTAGCCCCCGGAAGAGCTGTAGGTGGAGTTTCTTTTATTCCCGTATATATTTTAATTGATAATATAAAGTTTTATTTTATATTTCTGACATATATTAAATTTCAGATGGATCTATCAAGAAGTTCATTATTATTCATTCTCAGCTTATTTATTCATATTGGATACGTCAAGTCACAATCAAATTGTACACTTAATAATCTTTTCGATTGTTGCAATATTGAAGGCAAAAAGCAAGCAGACAACTGTAAGTAATTTTGTTAACATGTAAACATTTTGTAAGGAGACATATGCATGTATATATACTATCACACTTCAGACAATAGTATTTTGTAACATAACGATCGGACTAAATGATTTAGTATCAGTGTTGAATAAACTACATTAATTCGTGCCGCTTAGAATATCTAAATGAAGTAAAAAAAAATTAAATTTATAACGTTTCGTAATTTACTAACAACTGCCTCTTCAGAATAAATTAATAAATAATAATAATAATAAATAAATTATAATTCCTCAACTAAATTCAATAAAATAGGACTATTGGGAAACTTCCAAAGAATCTAGCTAATTTACAAGGTAAAGTACTGTTAAGTCACTTAATTGCAAAGAGTAAATGTTAAATGAATCACTTCACATAGGATTTCAAAATCATTGTCACCATTTAAAGACTATACGTATTTATTCCATGTTATTCAAAAGTTTTATTCTTACGGAAGTAATTCAGTTTAGTGGGTGTGCACTGCTAGTGGGTTCCAGACTAGAACAAGTCAACCCACAGTGCTACTTGATTCTCAGCTGTATTTGAAACATTGTCAATCTACGATAAATACTACCCTACAATTACTGTATGTTTCAAACTACGTTAAATTTATTTCCTGCGAGTTCGTAAGTTTAACTTGCTTAGGAAATTACACATTCTCTGATAAACTTTTAACTTTCCTAAAGAGTACACTAAGAAATGTTATAGTTTGGTTTCATATCTCCTTTGTATTTCTGTCATCTCCATACATATTATTTCGGATTATTATCCAGTGAAATCAAATAAATTTTTGTGACAGTATTTCAACTTATTATGTCACAGATAAATATTAAGATAATACTGTTAGTGTTCTTAACTTGTACGATGTTTCTCATTGTAAATCAAAAAACTTAGAAACACTGAATAGCTACTTTTCATTAATATATTCTCCTTTAAAATAACACTACTTATCAGGTTTCATTAGAATAATAATTTATTCAAAGTTACATAATAATTCTATTTTAGAATGAGTAATATATTCATTGTACATATCATTTACAAGTTGTATAATAAGAATTCTTCAACAAACACATATACAACAGTAATCAGTGAGTTATAGTGTAAGCATCATATTTCGTTCCAATCATCCACATACATCATGATATATAACAAGAATTACATATAGTTATCTTTACTAGCTATAACAATAGATTATATAAATTTGTTTCCATTTGAAACCCGAAGTTTGTGCTGATGATATCGTTCAGAAGAAGGATGAAGGCTCCACGGCCAAACCAGCTGAGAGAACAAAACTCCATTGAAACCAATTTTTAAATTCTATATGTTCCTTTTATCATTTGCATTCATATTATTCTTTGAAGAAGCTTCTTGTGCTTAATCTAGAAAAACAATAACAATGAATGATTACAGTGAGCCTTTCTTTCAGTAAACGAACTATATTTAGAAACTTGAACTTTCAGTTTTATTTATTTTTCACCTTTTTTTCTTTACATATTATTATAGTTCTTCAAAATCAACCTACAGGACTTAATACTCAACAAGTCGTAAACTACTTTACGGATTTGTGCAAGTTTCGTACGTTGAATGAACAAGCATCATTTATTAAGGCACAATATGAGAAACTATCAACTGCTGATTTAACTACTATGTTTACTACTAAACCTACACAAGGACCTACTACTACTACACCTAGAACTACACAGAAACCTACTATTTATACAACGAGAACTACACAGAAACCTACTATTTATACAACGAGAACTACACAGAAACCTACTACTTATACAACAAGAACTACAGCGAAACCTATTACTATTTTACCTAGAACTACAGAAAAACCTACTGTTCAGTCAACTAAACCAATTCTAAAACCATTAATGAACACTACTCAAGCTCCATAAGTGTTTATATCTTCACTGACAATAAATTCTGACAATATCAACAGCAAAACAAAACAAATAAATAACCTAGTTTATATCTGTAGCAATGTAGACAATTAATTAGTAAATATAAATATATACATTTCATGAATTAAAACAATTTGTATACTCTTTATTATTTATAAATTTATCCATTAATTTTATGTTATCAGGATATGATGAGTTCTGTTAAAAGAAATTTAATAGCTGACTATTAATATATAAAGTGTTGTGACCGTTGCCAATTCGTTATGATTTTATGTCCTGCTTCTTATCATGTGAATTATCCACTAATCGGAATGCGACTTGTCTAATCTTGATACTGTGCCAAAACGATGACGTTCAACTGGTAGAAGCAGTCTAGCGTCTTTAATGATCCCTTGTCCGCCTAATCCTTCCAATTGAGTCCAGAACACCAATTACAGCTTCTGCTATGTGAATCACTTATTTCAAGCATACTCGGTTTATATACCAGATAGACAGACCACATCACACCATAAAATAGAAAATAATATTTGTACAGGATCAAGTCAAATGTGGCTGTGAACGTGGGAAACAGTAATCAATAAACTGAATATAATTTAGGGACAGTAAATCGTATGATAATAATCCATAGGTCAAAATGAAGCTTGCGGTAAAATGAATATACATATACACAATCTAGTTATAGAATAATTAGTTTATTAATTGATCCTGGAAGTTACCTGTACAGGATCAATTAATAAACTAATTATTCTATAACTAGATTGTGTATATGTATATTCATCTTACCGCAAGCTTCATTTTGACCTATGGATTATTATCATACGATTTACTGTCCCTAAATTATATTCAGTTTATTGATTACTGTTTCCCACGTTCACAGCCACATTTGACTTGATCCTGTACAAATATTATTTTCTATTTTATGGTGTGATGTGGTCTGTCTATCTGGTATATAAACCGAGTATGCTTGAAATAAGTGATTCACATAGCAGAAGCTGTAATTGGTGTTCTGGACTCAATTGGAAGGATTAGGCGGACAAGGGATCATTAAAGACGCTAGACTGCTCTTCACTAGGATATAACATAAAGTAATGTTTGAAGTTAATAGGCTTAACTACTGTTTAATGCAATACTGCATTAAGCATATAAATTCAATAAAATTACATTCATGAGAATGTTTCACATGAATCGACAACTTTTCTTGTACTTGTTAACAATCAATAATTGAGCATATATAAATTTACTAGGATAGTTTCTGCCTGTCTAATCAAGTTCAGTTTTATGTAATAATTTCAGGATTATATGATATTTTCTTATTTATATTAAACAAATCTATTTTTAACATACAACAAAGTTAAAGTGTATAGTGCATATCATTTAAACAAAATACTTTGATTCCATTTGTATGTATATTTGAATATTGATTCTCATGTATTTAGGGAATATGTTCAGATCATTAGTCAATTGAAGCTAGACTACCATAGAAAACCTGGAAGCACTGGACAGCCGTTTCGTCCTATTGTGGGACTCCTAAGCAGTGTGCATCCACGAAACGGCCGTCCAGTGCTCTCAGGTTTTCCATGGGGGTCTAGCTTCAATTGACTCATGATTTCAACTATAAAATTATTAAAATTTCCACAAAAAACCCCTTCTGAATATGTTCAGATTTTTTTATTTTAAAGCATAGTAATTTGTAAGAAATTCGATTGTAATTGTAGGTTATCTACCGACAACGTTTATGATTAGCTATGAAATCTGAGAAAAATCACTTTGATTTTGGATAACATTTTCAATTAACAAAATAATAGAAGTCGTATGGAAGTTTAGATGGTAGCTTAAAGTGAAAAGAAAACAATATCTGATCTAAAATCTACCAACAGTTTCGGGCAAATAATAAAGAGTGAAAAGAAAGAAGATATTCTATCTGATGTTTTTTAAAGAATAAATCTTTCTAACTGAATAATTATGTTAAAAGTCATTAAATATGTAACATATTCTTCGATGATCATCTTAAGTTATATGTATTGGCAATTTTACTTCAGAAGAATAATGTAAAGTATTATACAATCAATCAAAACCTGGAAAGGTGTTAATTTTTCTAAAACACAACATTCTGTATTTTTCTGTAAACGGCAAGTTGTTCTTGAGGAAATCTGCTTATAGATGTGTAACTCTTTGGGAATCTTAGATTTTTAAAATGTTTAATTTAGATTTAAAAAGAAGAATTATCTTTGACTTGTGACCAGTTGTGGATACATACCTAATAGTGAATGTTCATAAGATTTCGGAGAGTACCTGACAAACTTAATAAAAAGGTTAACCGATGACGATTAGCAACAGAACTTAACTGGCAAAAATAGTTTATTGTGATTACTTTCAATCAATCTTCTAGTCATCTTTCTTACTGAATCAGATATCCCATGGAATACAACTTTTCAGTTGATTGTAGTCACAGAGACTTAGAACGAGCTTTTAATCAAATTACGTTAAAACTGCTTATAAAACTCATATCTGAACACTCACTGAATAATGTACATCATTTTAGTCTTCAAATATATCGCCGTTTCATTTATTCCATTTAATTATTCTCATGATAAATCAGTGTTGATATCTATAGTGTTTTCCATCGTTTATTGTCCAAAAGAATTATCTTCAATATTCTTATGCATATTATTATCACTCTCCTAGCTGAAATAAACCTTTAGACTGCGGAAAGTTCAGGAACTTAAATTAAACCAATTCCTTGTCACACAATCACCAAATTATATTGAACACTTATGGAAATAACATAGTACCCAAACGTCTTATGAGTTTCCTCAACCTTAATACTAGTAAAGTTGGTTCATTACAACTCTCTAGCTTACTACAATTTCATATTGTTGAATATCATCTCCTTTTTGTCAATGGTAATAACTTTTGTGTAGTTATGTATGACAAATAAATTTTTCAAGAGTCAGTCTTGTCAGTATTTACCATTAGATTGTTATTAATGGTAAGGGATTCTAGTAAACAAACATTAAAATAATCACCTAACCAGTATGAACTTCTCTATGGGCCTTCACAATTTATCTTTTGTAATTCCAATTCATTCCTTAAAGAATATCACGAGATCGCTTAAAAGTTATCTATTTATTCAACAGATTAAAATAGGTTTCCATCGGAAAACAGCTAAATATTTTGTTACATCCTTGAAATTTCCAAGTCTGCATTATTGTACTAATTCCGAGCAAATAAAACACTTTCAAAATAATTTCGCTCAATTGATCTGAGTGGTTCCTGGCAACGGATATTTTCATCTCAAAACTCACATACACACTTCATACTTTGACGAGCTCCGAAAAATGGTACCGAAAGAAATTTGTCTTTCTTTTTGAAAGCTCGCTTTATCATTCAAGTTTCAACAGTAACATTCCTGAAAGTCATGGTATTACTTCATTTTAGTTATTCATTAATACTTACTTGCTAATCTATGCATCAACTCTCTAGCATAAACGGCTGATATAGCTTTTAGAAGGCTGGTTTTTGAAAATGTTAACGATACTACTACCAAGAAGAGAACAATATGTACTTAGGTGGAACAGTATATGTGCATGACAAAAGAACTTAATGATCGTGATATAAAATAGCTGTTTAAGTGTGAAGTACGTATAACTATCTTGATACATATGATGTGATATTGAAACTGTGCTGTTACTTGGCTGAGCACCTCTATCTACTTTACTCAATTAAGACTAATAAGGTCAAACCCACGTGTTAGATACTTATAGAATTACTTATATCATAAGTTCCTTAATAAATAGCAAGAAAGTTTGTTTATCACTAAAGCTCAATCTAACTCAACTCTGGCGAGAGGTCAAGTGCTCTATTTACTCAGTGATGCTAATCTAAATGCTTGATTTAATTTAACTTACTGAATCTCGTTTAAAACTCCGCGTTTCGTAGATATTGTTTTAAAGGAGTTAAATACATAAATTACTACTATGATTTCTGAATTCATTTTAACTAGTAAAATGTTGACATTTGAGTATACATTTAGTGCTTGAACGGGATATAGTTCCCGTCATTTCCAGAAATCTATCATTTGAAATAATATGAAAAAATTTCAATCAGGAAATTTGGGAGAATTGAATTCCAGAGCTGATCATACTTATTCTCAAAGAAATGTCGTTACATATTTACTACTGTGCAAATTTTATAACTTTTCGATTGTTACTAACCATCTACAATCGTATACAATTATTTTAATAAAATCTGTTGAACTTTCTCTGATTTTCTCTACATTATGTAATTAGAACCCCTACTAAACTAATATCTACACAACTTGAAATGCAAATGAAGGTAGCATAGCAAAAACTAGTTAGTAGCTACATTTATTAAGAAGAACTACCTGAATTCACTTTTTCATTTATTAAACATCAGTGAATGCAGGAAATGACACATGTTTCTAACCGACAAACTCCGCCTGCAGCCACTCCGGGGACTACTGCCGGTCCCGATCCCGCCTAAGGAAGGAGGGTTGGGTATTGAGTTAACGACTCAATCCCGTAGAAAACTAACTAGCTAAAAAAACGCTAAACAGAAAAAATAATTCAAACTGCCCTGGGAGTTAGAAGGTCTTCATTTAGAAGAGTTATGACGCCTCATGATAAAAGCAGAGTCCTTCCGAAGCCACGAGGCCGATGCCCCTTCTCACAACCAGATCAACTATTAGTTTAGGTACATGAAATGTTCATACAATGTGGGATACTGGAAGAGCCATCAAAATTGCCACAGAAATGAAAAGATAAAACCTGGAGGTGCTTGGAATCATTGAATCACATTGGACTCAGGTTGGACAACAAAGACTAGATTCAGGGGAGCTACTGATATACTCCGGTTATGGAGAAGAATATGTTTACATATGCATACATAAGGCGTTGCACTGATGCTATCCAAAATGCACTTATAGGATAGGAATTTCATGGACCCACAATCATCAAAACTTCCTTCAAAACATA